AACATTTATCACCGCACTCAGCGTGGACAGGTACATGGTGATAACACGTCCCTTCTCCTACACCCAAGAAAAGGTCCAACGTATCTTCAAAATCTCCATAGCACTGATCTGGTTGATATTCAGCCTCGCTTTCATCATTGGCGCCATTTTTATCCACAACAATGCTAGGCCGGAAGGAATTTATTGCGCAATCAAAGTAAGCAGGTCTCGTTGGTCATCGCTTTCAATTTTACTCATCCCAGTTTTAGGGATACCCTTGCTGTTGGTTTGCACCATCTATGCCCGCCTTTTGATTCTTGGCCGAAAGCACGCGCTCCAAATCCGCCAACAGAATCCCGATCCCCAACCCAACAACGCCGCCGGAAGCGGACGACGTGGCTACAAGACCTTCGCCACTGTGACGCTCTGCTTTGCCCTGACCAGCTTGCCTTATATGGCCAGCATCATTCATGCACAATTCATTGCATCTGATGAAATGTTGGGCAGTTCACCTGCCTTGACAATCCTCACTGTGTGCAAGCTTATCTTCAATAGTCACGGCTGGCTAAACGCCCTCGTCTACATATTCATGAACAGGTGTTTCCGACAGGAAGCTAAGAAAGTGCTGAAGGGGGCGTGGCGGTGCATTCGCAGGCAACAAGACCATCCAGAACAGTGAACCATGAACCCTTACATTGCTAGACAAAGCACAGCAGTGGAGTAGTACTCGAGCACAAGTTTCATACTCGTACTTATGAGAAAGTACCAGTACTCATGGCAAAGTACTCATACTCATGGCAACGATACTCGTACTCATGAACTTAAAGGAAAAGCACCCCTTTTTTCTACTGTTTGGTAGGCTTTTACATACATTTAATGCCTCATCTAACAACAAAAATCCTTGATAACTAGTTACTCATGGCGAGCCACTTGTACTCATGGCAAGGTACTCTAACTTGTACTCATACTCATGGCAATGTACTCGTACCCATACTAGTACTCATGGATATGTACTTACACTCATAATCGTACTCTTGGAAATGACTCATCATAGTACTTTCTTTCAAACTTTCATCAAATCTGAGACGGTGTCCTGACAACTTTCCAAAAATTGATGATAGTCGGCACAGAATGACCCAATAGCACAATGCTTTTACCATTGAAAGGGGACTGAGTGATAGAATTGATAGCCAGACTGGATTGGTCCACACATGATGGACATGATTGGATAATGTCAAAGCCATTATAACGACTACAATTCTGTAATAAAGAACACTGAAAAGGCAACCACAAGGTAATCAAATGTGACACATTTGATGTGCCTGGGTTCTTTTAAAACCACAACGCTGACATCTGATAGCATCTTGTTTGCCTGTTAATCAAGCAAAATTGAACTGTAATGAGTTTTTGTCTGTCTGTTTATTTTGGCTGACGTATAAGCCTATAGCATCTTCATGCAATCATATTGGAGCGACGCTGTGCCTCGCACCCACTCCAATTTTCATCACTTTCTACCAGTCTTTCAGCAGAACATTTCCACTTTGGTGGCACGTTCACAATTTTTGCTAAAAATTTGAATTTGCTGGGTCATAAACAATTTAACATTCATCTTGCTGCCTTTGTTCCACTTCTGTTTCTGCAATGGATCAGGTTTTCCCGGCAATAGTGGCAGTCTTTATTTTACTCAATTCTTCGGCAGTTGGATTTGGTGGGACTTTGTCAATCATTGTTGCTCGCCGAATGTCCAATCTGGATGGCAGTACCAGGCTTTGTATGGTGTCCCTGGCTGTCGCCGATATGCTGACGATTTTGCCGTATCTTGCAACCTTTGTGGCTATAACGGCACAGCAGTGGTTCTTTGGGGTGACGGTCTGCAACCTAAGCGCTCTCATGCTCACACTCGCATCATTTGCATCTGTCGCATTTATCACAGCACTCAGCGTGGACAGGTACATGGTGATAACGCGTCCCTTCTCCTACACCCAAGAAAAGGTCCAACGCTTCTTCAAAATCTCCATAGCACTGATCTGGGCGATCGTCAGCCTCGCTATCATCATTGGCGCCATAACTTTCTACGATAGGCAGGAAGGGATTTATTGCGTGATAATAGTAAACAGGACTCATCTGTCCTGGTATGCAGCCTTAATAATCCCAGCTTTAGGGATACCCATGCTGTTGATTTGCACCATCTATGCCCGCCTTTTGATTCTTGGCCGAAAGCACGCGCTCCGAATCCGCCAACAGAATCCCGATCCCCAACCCAACAACGCCGCCGGAAGGGGACGACGCGGCTACAAGACCTTCGCCGCTGTGACGCTCTGCTTTGCCCTGACCAGCTTGCCTTACATGGCCAGCATCATTCATGCACAATTCATTGCATCTGATGAACTATGGGGCAGCTCACCTGCATTGACAATCCTTGCTGTGTGCAAGCTTATCTTCAATAGTCACGGCTGGCTAAACGCCCTGGTCTACGTATTCATGAACAGGTGTTTCCGAAAAGAGGCTAAGAAAGTGCTGAAGGGGGCATGGCGGTGCATTCGCAGGCAACAAGACCATCCAGAACAGTGAACCATGAACCCTTATCTTGCTACACACAGCACAGAAGTGGTGTAGTTCTCGAATACATTTTACATACTCATCCTTATGAGAAATTACTCGTACCGGTACTCATGGTAAAGTACTCATACTCGAATCATCAGATTTGAACCAGCCAACCGATCCTGGCGAACTCGGTGGTTGAGTGCTTAGACGTCTGCACTAGAAAGCAGGAGGTTGTGGGCTTGAGTCCCACCCGAGTGACGATTTCTAACTTTCTATCGGGAGGTAACACACTGAGTATACAGTGTTTATTTGTCAGTGCAGGGCAAAACCTAATAATGAGTCTACAATTTTATTATACAGCAAAGTGAAAAGGCAATCATGTGCTGATCAAATGTGACACATTTGATGTGCCTGATATCAAAACTGTCTTATAAAACCACAAGGCTGACATTTGATAGCATCCTGTTTGCCTGTCAATCAAGCAAAATTGAATTCTAATGAGTTTTTGGCCGTTTGTTTATTTTTGCTATCATATAAGCCTATAGCGTCTACATGCAATCACATTGGACCGACACAGTGCCTCGCACCCACTCCAATTGCCATCACTCTCTAGCAGTCGTTCAGCAGAACATTTCCACTTTGGTGGCACGTTCACGTACATGTACTAGAGAAACAGACTTTACGGGATCATAAACAAACGAACATTTGGCCTGCTGCCTTCGCTCATTTTTATGTCTGCAATGGATCCGTTTGCCCTAGCAATATTGGCAGTATTAATTTTACTCAATTCTTTGGCAGTTGGATTTGGTGGGACTCTGTCCATCATCGTTGCTCGCCGAATGTCCAGTCTGGATGGCAGTACCAGGCTTTGTATGGTGTCTCTGGCTGTCGCCGACATGCTGACAATTTGGCCGTATCTTGCAACCTTTGTGGCTATTTTGGCACAGCAGTGGCCCTTTGGGAATGAGGTCTGCAACTTAAGTGCTCTCATGCTCGACATGTCATCATTTGCATCTGTCTCATTTATCACTGCACTCAGCGTGGACAGGTACATGGTGATAACGCGTCCCTTCTCCTACACTCAAGAAAAGGTCCAACGTTTCTTCAAAATCTCCATGGTACTACTGTGGGTGATACTTGGCCTGGCTTTCGTCTCTTGCGCCATCATTTACTACAAGAGGGATTGGCTGGAAGGGATTTACTGCGTGATCCAAGTAAAAGGGACAACCACTGTGAGGTTCTGGTTTGCAGTCTTACTCATCCCAGCTTTAGGGCTACCCATGCTGTTGGTTTGCACCATCTATGCCCGCCTTTTGATTCTCGGCCGAAAGCACGCGCTCCGAATCCGCCAACAGAATCCCAATCCCCAACCCAACAACGCCGCCGGAAGCGGACGACGTGGCTACAAGACCTTCGCCGCTGTGACGCTCTGCTTCGCCCTGACCAGCTTGCCTTACATGGCCAGCGTCATTCATGTTCAATTCATCCTACCTGATGACATGAGGGGTAGCTCACCTGCATTGACAATCCTCACTGTGTGCAAGTTTATTTTCAATAGTCACGGCTGGCTAAACGCCCTGGTCTACATATTCATGAACAGGTGTTTCCGACAGGAGGCTAAGAAAGTGCTGAAGGGGGCATGGCGGTGCATGCGCAGGCAACAAGACCATCCAGAACAGTGAACCATGAACCCTTACCATGCTACCGGTAGACACAGCACAACAGTGGTGTAGTATTCATACTCGTACTCCAGTACTTTTTTGCACTCTTACGAAAAAGTACTTGTACCCATGGTCAAGTACTCATACTCATGGCAAAAGAACTCATACTCGTACTCATGAACATAAAAGGAAAAGGACCCAGCTTTCTTCTTCTGTTTGGTTTGCTTTTACATATGTTTAAGGCCTCAAAACAGTCCTTGACAACTTCTGTACCCTTCAAAATGTGATCGTGCTCATGGGAAAAGAACTCGTACTCGTACTTTTGTAAGTACACTCGACTACTCCACTACTGTCGCAGAGAGTAACAGATGTACAAGTTTATGGGACCTTGATGCAAAGAGCCAGGAATTGTGTGAAGAACACACTGCACACTTGTTCGCACGTAAATAAAAACTGTGTATATTTTTGAGAGATTTGAAGATACAGAGAGAGACTTAAAACCATTTTTCCCCGTAATTTTTAAACAGTAGTTGGCCAAACCCTCCTGCTGTCACAGACAGTCAAAAATTTATCAATCCTCTCCCCTGCAATGCCTTTTACACAAGTTAGTCACAGAAACTGCATCTCGAGACGGACCAGAGTCCGAATCCTGGACTCAAGTAATACAACACTGGTATGTAGTAGTTTCAAACCTTGGACACAAATCAAGCTTTGGCTTCAGGGTTCAGTTTCATGATCTGTTTCCATACCTGATGAAGCCACAGCTAAAAAGCCAAACCAAGCTTTGGAAAATGCCTTAAGATTACATGTACGTACCTTCTTGCGACCAAATAGCAGCAGCTCGCGGAACTTGCTGGTGTCGCTCTCCACGTCCCGTAGTTGGGGCTTTCTCTTGGCCGTGACCTCTGCCCTTTGACCCTCGGAGTTAGTCTCCTCACCAGCCGCCTCCTCGCCTCCCGTCTGAGAGGCAGGGGTCGCGGAGGAGGAAGGAGACGTCACCATGGGGTGGTTTTTCAGGAGCAGGTCAGAGACGTCAGATTCCATGATGTTCTGTTGATATTTCACAAATTCAAAAAATATCATAATTAATCAAATACTGTTGTCATAAAGACAATTCTTTATCAACACTGAGTCTCTGGATATTTTGCTGAGATCGCTACCAAATCCTACAAAATCTGCCGTTTAAGTACTTAAATTTACATTTAAATCCCACAAACATCATTTCCAAAATTTTCGGTGGATATTGAAGGATTTGGGAATGTTAGGATTAAAGATTATTTGAAAAAAAAAAGGATGAAACTCACTTATGTCGAGAATGAAAATTTGGAAACAGTTGTAAATAATTTAATAGCATTTAATATGCATAAATATTTTTGATGTCTGTTAAAATAAGTGAACAATCGTATTCCAAATAAAACAGTGTGTTTAGAAATTGGGGACATTTTGGAAATTACAAAATGAACTTAAAATATGTCTATGTAATGAGGGAAAATAATTGTGAATTGTTTAGCCTTTTGTGAAGTATTGTACAAACGTGTGCACAGTGAGTAATGTTTTAGGACAGTTGAATAATAACTTTAGTAAAAATATTTCATCATTTGATTGTGACTTTAGGTGGTAGATTCGTCAATTCTTTTATTTACATGAAGAAAAGTAGTTGATGATAAAAATTGTCAAAAATGTGGTGTTTAGATATCTCTGATTCTGTGTGACAAGCATTAATTATGAATAACTGTTTTAAGCACAATGGCTACATAGGAAAATGTAAAAGATTGTGTTGTTTTAGTGTAGTCATATGAGTGTGATATTTACAAAATGCTCATAATTTCTTAAAGTTACTATTTCTATTGGTTATCACAAAAGCTTACGAATAGTTGAAAGTATAAAAACATCATTATTATAAACTAGAAAGTATAAACAATTCTGCAAGAATTCAGGCTATTCACAATGCAGTGCGCCACCAAGAGTTTGCCATGGAGAGTCCATTTTTCAAGTTTACAGTCGACAAAACACGGCCCATTGGAATGAGTGTCAGTACACAACTTGAGCTAATTTGTTATAGCTTGGGGCATAGCATTCTACCGCCTTACAAAAAATAACCAATATTGATAAAAAGAAAAAGGCAAACAGATACTTGAATCATACGCTTACGAAACTACTGACCAGAAAAAACAAACAATTTTAAATGTCCCGCGCTGCGAATTTAATGACCTTCTTCAACAATGCACTGGGAAAATGAACTCTTCGTGGCAAAGCACCTTGTAAACCCTTATAAGGTGCTACATAATGGGTCTCATATTTCTCATAAACTTTATTTACCTTTCTTTAATAGAGACATATTTTCCAGCGCCTTGAGTACCTAAATGTTGGTAGATACGTGCGCTATATAAGACTCCGATATTATTATTATTGTTATTATTTATTAAACACCGAACTTGCTTATTGTGATGTTTCAACATTTTGATTCAAGGAGGACTTGTGAAAAAGAATGCAAAAATCACAGTAGCTTATTCTAGTCGCACCAAATTTTGATGTATAGACAGCCCACAGTAATTGCAAATAAAGCTGAGTATGAAAATGTAATTAAGAATCACTGTTGGTGTATTTGAGGCTGGTTCATAGTACTCGGTGCAAATGAGGAAGTGAAAGTACAAATGTGACATCACAGCAGTATTCATACTGCCAGTTTTACAAAAGTTGAGTGCATTTCCAACTTTGTTGAATTTCACTGTGGTTGTCAGATTCATTTCGCATTCCTATTCGTGAAAAGTGTGAACCGGCCTTCATTGCCTATACTGCTTGTGCTGGTACCAGAGGGCTTGCTTAGGGTCTTCTTTGTACCTATCTGACTGACCGACTGTCACTTGTGAGACCAGCAGTGCTATTGTATAGTATATCACAGCAATGGCAATGAATTAATGCTGTGCAAACCCAACCCGAAACCGAAACCGACCCGACTCAAAACCTACTTCGGGTCGGATCGGGTCGGTTAAGACATCTGGGAACAACCCGAAATAAAACGAAAACAAAAAAGAAAAAAAATATTTCGGAAATTCACACGGTGCAATTTTTATTGCAGATTCATTGTGCCCGGTGCGACCAACTGTGGTTTGCGGTCTTTCACGCACGGTCTATAACATGTAGGCCCACCATTAGGTTACGCTGTAGTCTTCACCGTATCAAATGGTATGATTCAGTTACTGAGAGACGACCACTTTTCACGGGACCCGGGTAAGTTCAGGCACAAAAAGCGGACACAGCTGCCTAAGTACGATATTCTGTATTTTTTTCAGGTCGGTTCGGTTTCGGGTTGGTTCAGGTCAGTTTTCGTTGAATTTTTTGTTAGGTCGGGTGGGGACGGTTTAACCAGTTCGCACCAGAGGCCGCGTATATATGCAAAGGTTTTGCGGTATTCAGAACTGATGACAGATAAACACGCAGCGAGCGAGGCCGGAAATATGAGTGTGCAGCCCGAGGGTGATGGCTTCAACCCGCCTGGCTTGAGGTCGAGTGAAAAGTAATCCCGCGCCTCACTCTGTTCTAGTCAAAATAATCCCGGCGTGAACTGGTTAAGGGAGTACAGATTTCAGTTCGGATTTGGTTTATAGCTGTAATGTTTCGGGTCGGTTTGGTCTGGCCAACCCAACCCAACCCGATGCACAACATTACAATGAATGGCTAGTTTACCCCGTTTTGTCGGCAGACCAGCTCCATCAGGTCCCACAGCAGTGAGGCAGACTCCCTGTCCGGCGTGTCCGTGCTGTTCTTGCAGGCGGTCGACTTCCCGTTACAGAAGCTGATGACGTCGTTCTTGTGGGTCTCTCCTCTGAACATTGGGAGGCAGCACACAGACAGAACAAAAAAATGGTTCAGTTTTGCAAAAGACAGAGCGAGTGAAGCAGTTTACACAGGGAAAAGTCAAGGATTTGGTTCCGAGGACTATGGACTATGGTTTGGGTGTAACTTTGAGGTCTGTGGTTTAGCACTAAACTTGGAAAACTACAGTACCAAGAATATTGCAGGTCAACAAATTCATTAAAAACGTCCTGAATGAAAGTGAACAAAAGGAACAAGGCAGGAACAGCTCTGCATGAGGCAGATGCAGCAATGTTAAAAATAATTTATACAAAATAAAACTCAAAATATCAGGATATTTTTCTAACAATCACTGAAGCAAATCTTCACGCCTAATGGGGGAAAAAAGAAATTTGATTGCCCTGATTGTGGACCAAAAACCTTAAACTGGCTTAATTTTTGAAGTCTACATACTTGATCAGTGGTCCTGGGAATGCCCTCAACTCCTCTGCTTCAGCAGTGTGCTCCAGCATGGTCTGAAAAAAAAATGGTCAAATAGAGAAATAGATTCCAAAATAGATTAAACAACTTGATTGAGCAACAAAAATCAATAAATATACTGTAAACTATCATTACAAGAGCAAGAAGGTTAAAGCAAAGACAGAAATTTGGTCTGTTCTTCAAAACTCAAAAGAGGCAGGTTGAGTACAGTGGTGCTTTTTCTAACCTTCCACTTCTGCGACCCGGGTTCAAATCCCACCCAGGCCAAAATGTGGAGTGGTATTTCAGCAAGCCTGATTTTGAGGGTTCCTCCCCTTCTTGAAACCTAATCATATTCTTCACCGTCTTCTCTCCAGGTTTCTTCGAGTTTCAAAGTTCTTCTTTTGAGGAACCATTTGTTTTATTACTAAGAAGGATAAAAGAAGATTGTTTTTATGGGATTTGGGAAGGGGTTTTTTTTTGGGGGGGGGGTTTGTTTGTGCATCAGGAAGATATGAATTCTACATTGGGTTCTGCCCTTCACTAACATAACTTCATAAGCACTGCACACTGAGTGCTGTCATTGGGCTTGCGAAAAGGAAAATATCCCATGATATAAAACATTGACTGATCTGCTACGGCAGATTCGAACCAGCTACCCCGCTCCAGCAAGCTCGGTGGTCAAGTGGTAAGTCGTCTGCACTAGTAAGCAGGATCTCTGACCGTGTAAGTTTGTGGATTTTCGTCTCCCAAGCCTTCACATATCACCGAGTATCGCTCATGTAACTAAATCAGCGACGAGCAGAAAGCTTAGCCTCTACCTCTATGCTGTGTATCTCCACCCTGGCCGGCATCCCATCTTGAGGCATGTTGGGCAGGACCTTGACTAGGTGGCCGCCGGGGCTAAACCTGGCTATGATGTGGGGCAAGGCAAACTTGGCTGGGGTGAGCCTCTCCAATGGTGGAGGTGTGACTACAATGAAAAAAAAAAAGAAATTTAATGACATGCCAGTAAAACTACCCCTAGGCCAAAAAAAAAAAATAGTCGGTCTCTGGTCAGCGCGCGCGTCGATTTTAATCATGCGCTTCAACCTTTTTTTTTCTTCAAATTAACACGGAAGCTACAACAGCGCCCTCTTTTGCTGCGCCTCCTCAAATTTTTGTACCAAGATGCACCAAGGAATGGGGAAATTGCACAACGGCAAATGATAAAGGGCACCAAGGCAAATGATGGAGGACACCAATGTATAATGTGGACACAAAAAAGCAAAATAGTACCCACCTTGTCTGTACAATACAATACAAGCTTGAAAAAAAAAAAGCCACCAAAACAAAAAACAAATAAAACGCGTCGCTGCATCAATTCCGGAACTTCGGTCTGACCAGAGAATGACTATTTTTTTTTGGCCTAACCCTGCCAGACACAACATAATGCTACAGGTGTCTAAGTCTGTTGGATCTTGCTGCTTGAGCCATCAACATCAGGGGTGGAGTGCGATAACCGGTCTTAAAGGTGGCTATGCATGTTAGATGGCATTAAAGCACTGGCTGTGGGTTGGTGGCCAAGGTATGCCAAACCCTTAGGGAGCGTCTCAAAAGTTGGAACGGCCGGAACGTTCCGCTGGGCACACTGGCCGTTCCGCCGGGCACAGTCATTGTGCCCAGTGGAACGCCGGGCGTTCTGCTGGGCACAGCTGCCGTTCCGTTGGACCGCTCCGTCGGACCGTTCCATACTTTTCCTGGCATTATGTGCCCGGCGGAACGTTCCATCGGAACGGTCCGCCGGAACGGTCTGCTAGAGGGAATATACTCGCCGAAGTGCGGATATGACGGTTTCCAAAAAAACGAGCTGGTACTCGTCAACATTGCTTATCGTGCATCTTTGTGTGTGTGTGCGTGTGTACGTGTTTGTTTACATGCTATACCTACGTACATGTACGCCATGCAGTCGCGCGCGAATCTTGCGGTTACTGAAGATGTGTCACAGAAGCAAACTTTTTTTTCTGTTTCGGTCTCATGTTTTATTGAATTGAACCCCAGATTACTGTAAACTTTTTTTCATTGCAAATTTATAACATTAGGTCTAACTTATCTATAGCAACAACTTACCTCATCGTCATCACAAACGAAAGAAAACATTTTAAGATTGGCGCATGATACCCAATTATGAATATCCCATCTGGACCATACTCGTTCCCAGCGGAACGTTCCGACGGGCACATGTGCCCAGCGGAACGGTCCAAAGGACCGATGAAACGGTGGAACCGATGGAACCGACTTTTGAGACGCTCCCTTACCTTGTTTGACCTCCTCCTGGTACACCCCATCCGTACCGTCCTTGTACCCATAGCTGCTCCCATACTGGTCCCGGTACCCCATGCTGCTGTTGGTGTTCTGATTGCTGTAGTCCTGGGTGTAGATGCTGCTCTGGTCGGCGCTGTACTTCTCCGGCGTGTCTCCGCCCTGGTGGTGAAACTCCGACGCAAAACTTTGAAAGAAAGAAAAGCAATGACACAGTTCTCAGTGACAATGCTTGCATGACCCAATGTAGATCTGCAAAACGTGCCAACCCCGAACAGAACGATATTGTCATATGCTATGTTATGTTACGTTTTATTCCACAAATAGGAACAAACCCCATGACCCTGGGGAAGGGTTACAACAGTGAAATTAAACATTGAATTATTTGGCAGGTGGGTTAACAAAGAATATGCTTTGAAATTACGTCATGCTTTGCCTCTCTTTAAGATTTGTACATTGGAAAATAAATTTAGCTACACATATAATAGTATGTTTATCTGCTGACGACATCAGAAAAATGAATTTATCATTTTTTGTTAGACCGTTAAAGCCAGGCTCCATTTTACAAATGTCAGTAAGAAAGTTAGATCGAAGATCATTATATAATGGACATTCTAAAAGAAAATGCATTTCTGTTTCAACATCAAGTAGACAATGTGGACATAACCTTTCATGTAGAGCTAAACCAGTGTATCTACCAACTTCAATCATTAACTTGTGAGATGAACATCTAAATTGAGAAAAACAAGATCTATATCCAGAATCCAATAAGTAGCATAAATATGGCTCAAACTCATATAATTGTTTAAACATACGGTAAGTACGAAGTTTGTTTTTCTGGTTACTATCTTTTCTAAGGTTACAATGCAGTCTGTCGTTCCACTGATATTGTCATAAAAAAACTGTTGTCAAAATGGTGGGTGCCGTGTATGCCAAACCTACAGGTGTCACTTTCAACAGCAGCTTTAGAAATCCTCACAAAAGAAATTGTGACTGGAAGTGAATGATATGAACTATCTGCAGAGGTAGAAAATGGACAATTTCAGTACCAACGGAATCAACCTTGACTCCATGGGCTACGTGCGCGTTCCTTCACTAACCCCTGGTCAAGTAGAATACAAAAACGACGCTGATTTGACTATTCAGAGCATACCACGCACACATTTTGAAGGCTGCACCCTAAATATGCGCTCACGTTATCTTCTGAACGTCACATCCCTGACGATGCCTCTACGATATGGAAATTCTGGAAACCTCTTTTTTTTTATGCAAAAAATACCTGTATACTGAGTTGTGAAACAGTAACAGAGGTAAGCACATTCCGAATTTTAGCAACGCAATGTTGAAATCTCATTTGACTGATTCTAAAAAATAGATTCTTCAAAATTGAAAGCACTGCGTCCAGCATTAAACCCATCGACTGAAGTCCTAATGTAAATCTCCCTAATAGTTGGATATTCCGGGGGTTGAGATTGCGCAAGGCACGGTGCAAACCAACATGGAGTTCATTGTGTTTGTCAGCCATTTTGGAAATTACAGCAAATGACTCGGGAAGGTTGTTGGCCTTGGTTGATAATGTTCGCCACTACAAAATTAATTGTCTGGATTAAAACGGATCTAAAAGAATACACAGTTAAGATCGAGCTGAAATATCCACTCATTAATCTCTGGGAGGTGCCATGTCATGCAGATAAATCGTCAAAGCATACTCAAAGGGTTAAGAACAGGACGACCTGAGATTGACACGACCTTAACAGAGCTGCCAACGTTTGAATTTTGCAATCAGGGAGATTTTGCACAACAATCAGGGAGGTATTTAGAATTACATTCAACATAATAGGAAAAAAGTTTCCATATTCAGGGAGATTTTCAAACTTGTTCATCAGAACATGGAAAGATGGGTTTATTTTCAGGGAACCTTCTGCAGAATCAGGGAGAGTTGGTAGCTCTGCCTTAACCCTTACAAAACGGTAGTCTCTAAAACCAGCCAGAAGATAGGTGTAAGTCATTTTCTTACCTGGTATTGCCTTGTCCATCTTGGTAGCCTTCTCTGCCAGTCTGCGATTCAGCCGGCCACTGCTGCTCGGGCGCGCTGGTGTTCTGCCTCTGCTGGTTCTCGTCTCCCCGGTCGCGGTAGTACTGACTCTGCCGCTCCCAGTTCTGGTAACGATCGTCGTAGCTACGGTTGGCGTAGTAACCTTGCTTGGCCCAGTACTCCTGCTGGGCCTGTTTGTCGTACGGTCGGCCGTAGGCATCGTAACCTGATGGTTGAATGAGAAAGCAAAAAATTTGAAACTATAAAATAATATAATCGGAAAGAAAAAATATTCCAATCCGATTAAAAAATTTTTAAAAAAATTAAATTTTATTTTAAAAAGTCCGCAAACCAGCAGCCAATATTTTACATTTGTTCAATCTGTTTAGCCTGAGTGGAAGTTTTGATATCACATCATTTAAAACTGGTCCCTTTATTGGCCTGTGTGGATTGCAAATGATCCTTGACCTGACATGTGACCCCTGAACTCTGACCTCTGTAGTAATCCTTGGAGTCCCTCTTCTCATAGCCTCGGTTGTAGGCATCAGCACCGTAGCCTCTTTCCTGCCTCGACCTGGGCCTCTGCCTGTCCTCCTGATCGGGGTACGTTCCTTGCTTGGACTGGTCTTGGTAGCCCTGCCGGGAACGTGGCCTCTCCCGATCAGGGTAGGCTTGTCTCTCCTGATCGGGGTACCCTTGCTTCTCCCGATTGGGGTATCCCTGCCTCGATCGGGGCCGCTCCTGGTTGCTGTATCCTTGTCTTGAGTAAGATCTTTGTGGAAAATAGAACAGATTTTTGTTTTCTCAAAATATTTATGGAAGAACAAATATGTCATGTTCATTGTTTCTTCCTTGGTGTGATTATGGCTAATTGATTTTACTGGTACAAGCATTACAAAATCAAGTCTAATAATGTGGTTTGTGTGATATTGTCGCATGCAATGACACAGAGGTCAAATTGGACAGTTTGTGGTCAAGTGAGCATGCTCTCATAAATTAGTTAAAGGTAATATACAACATTTGCTTTGGCAGTAATTTTCAGTAACGGATGGATGTGGGGGTTAGTATTTTATAGAAAATACTGTTACACTGACACGTTTAAAATTTTGTGTTCATAGATGCAGGAAAAACAAACAAAAAAAATGCTGTTTCTGTTTTTCTGGTTCCCTGACCCTACCTCAGATGAAATGGAACAATTTATGGATGTCCGGACATCGTCGGGTTGGTGAACCAGACTAGCTGGCTTGCACCCGTACATGGATGTGCAACCGATTGAAAACAAAATGCCAACTAACTAAAGAATGGCAAGATCAGCAATAAAGTAAATTGGGGCAGTATTTGAAAAAAGTCATATTTTTTTTCTCAAGGACAGCTGACCACCGTTCTAAATTTATACAAAAATTCCGCATTTCTTGAAAATGACAGCACACCAGGTGTCACGATTTCACAGGATTCTTGACAGCCATTCCATGTAAGGGTCATCACCAAACTCAAAAATTGAAGTGAAAGGAATAACTTTTTGTCAGTTATATTTGATAAGAGGAATATTGAAACCATCTAAATCTCAAAAGATTTTTTCAAATAAATCATTTTATTTAAAGTTTCAGCCTCCTGAACATGGATGAATTTTGTGGGCAAAACGGAGGGTCAGGGGTATAAATCACAAACTGAGGAAGTAATTGAAGCTCATTCATAAGATTGTGCTTTATCTGCATACATTTGGTAGCTATTCCAGTCTATTTGATAAAACATTGAGAATTTTTCCAAATGTCTTCAGTATTTTCCCACTATTTCATCGTGAAAACACCCTAAAAAATATGTCATGCGAGTCACAAAATAGGACTTTTTTTCAGATTACTTAATAACTAGAGAGGGATTCAGCTAGTGTTTGATATTTGTAAATGAAATAGTGGTGGTCTATCAATAAAAGTATGAATATTCTTATTTGCTCTACATTCCTTGTAGAAAAAACTATCTCAAGAATGTCACGCGAGTCACACATGATGTATGTCACGCGAGTCACCAGGGGCGGATCCAGAAATTTTCGCAGGGGGGGGGGGGGGTTTCTTCAGCCAAAAAATCTGAAAATGCACACGTTATTTTTTTCTCCGGACACTTGGCCTCCGTTAAATAAAAAACTGGGGGGGGGGGGGGGCTGGTACCAATTTCAATCGGGGGCGCTGTTCAAATTCGACGATTATTTACACATAACAGAATGGTGTACCGTATTTTGAACAGGCAGACATTAGACCAGTATAATTTTTGGGGGGTGTCACAGCAGGGGGGGGGGGGGGTTCAACTTATTTTTTAGGAATTTGTATGGGAATTTTTTTTTTGACAGAGGCGGGGGGGGGTTGACCCCCAAAACCCCCCTCTGGATCCGCGTCTGGTCACAAGCCAGGAATGTTTCATTTACATGTAATACAAAGAAACAATGTCATATTAAATTATAGAATTGGAATTAAGTCTTTAAAAGCATTAGTTATGTAACAAGAAATTGAATCAGTTTTTTACAAATGTATGTATACAGTCGAGTCTCGTTTATACAAACTCGTTCGGACCTAGCCAAATTGTTTGTTATATCAGAATTTTGTACTAAGAGGAACATCAGTCCCATTCATTGTGCACATAAATGCACAGTCGGGACTAAGGCTTTATGTTTGTTAGGCCTATAACCAGAATTTTGTATTAACAGAGTTTGTACTAACGAGATTTGACTGTACTGTATACATTCCTATACAACTGCATCATTAATTGCAGCTCTTACCCTTTAAGGAAACTTTGACTCTACATGACCAAGAATTACAACTGTTTTCCTGAAATAATCACCCGTGGATTGATGACATCACTTCGTAACTTAAATTCCGAAACATTTTTTTCTCTCCATGTCATTGTTAAGGATATTGTGTTTAAACCAAATTTCCACCCCCAACATTTGCCAAAGTAAAGGGATAAATAGCAGTTTTCACACTCTTTCATAAGGTATTCAGGTATTATATTAATATAATATTATGATTTGATTTGTTATACTAAAATTACAGTTATAATGTGAAAGTGAAAAGCTACTGTGTCACGCGAGTCACGCATTTGTGTCATGCGAGTCACATTTTCTTCAGGCCATTTCTTACAACAAGGGATATTTGGCACAATACAACTTATGCATGTATTGGGTGAGGGTATTAAGTTCTAAGTTCAGTAAGAATAATTTTTAGAACACTGGTAGATCCATAGGAAAAGCTATTTGAATCAAGGGATGTCAAAAATCCCTTTTTCTATCCTGTCACGCAAGTCACGTCAAAGAAACTGTGATACATGAAAAAATAGCGATTTTAAAGTAATCATATAAAAACTAAACCATAAATTCACAATGCCCTGACTCAAATACATGCTAATTTGAGTTGAATAAATGCCAGGTTAACAACAGTAATGCATTAAAACTCTACATTTTGTTCAAATGTCACGCGAGTCACCATGGAATGGCTGTTGAGACTATTGTTCACTTACAGTCAAGTAAGGTATTTCATAATTTTGTAGTTTTGACGCGTGACGTCATTATGTCCCAGGCCTACTGACCTACCTGTTTGCATCATATCCAGCTCCCTTGTACGCGTATGCTCTCTGTCTATCATACGCAGCCTGCCGGGCGTAATAGTCGTAGTGTTGGCTGCGATAATCGTACGGGTAGCGCTGGTCGTAGTATTGCCTGTCGTAATACGGATCCGAGGATCGCCGGTCGTACCACTGATTGCTTGGTGGTTGTCCCTACATTGGAAAGATGAACCATTGGAGAACAAATTATGCACAAACGAATGGAAGGTAAAAAAGAGGAAAACCATAATTAGGTTTGCGGCATACAGGGGGAGTAAAAAAAAAAAACACCTAAATGTTGGGACTATTTAGTGAAGTTCTGCATGTAGCACTTTCAAAATCTAGGACATGAAAGCCCAATTCAAAAGCTTTCTTTTAGTACAAGAATCATTCAAATCACTCATGCACCTTTCAAGTTACGGAATTTTAAACACAACCCCCGTTTTATAGTTCTGTCCACGGATCACAAAAGAAAGGTGTGCGTTCTCTCCGCAAAACGAAAACAATTCACATACATCCTTATGTGATTTGTTTTCGTTTTGCTGGAAGAGCCCTGAACTTTTTTGTGATCCGTGGACAGAACCTTAAAATGGTGGTAGTGTTTAAAATTCCGTAACTTGAAAAGTACAAGAGTGATTTGAATGATTCTTGTACTGAAAGAAAGTTAATGAATAGAGCTTTAATATCCTAGATTTTGAAAGTGCTACATGCAGAACTTCACTAAAAGAATGGTCCCAACATTTGGGTTTCGTTTTTTTTACTCACCCTGTATAATATACATGTGTATCCTACGAGTACAGGTACTGATAATCTGTCATGGGGCTGTTGCTTGGTACAACAGCATGCATAACGGTTTCTCCATTGAAGGAGGATCTTGCAAGTGTGCAGTCATCATGTGCCAGGAAAGGCAGAAAATGGCTGTTGCCGAAGTAGTCCATAGGAACGGCTATGAATGAAAACATTTGAAGCCCCAAATCCAAAAAGATCTAGGGGCAAGGGGAGGTTTTGGTAGACATGTTGGAATGTACGTCGCCACTCAGGACACGTAGGTTGGGAATGACGACAGAATTTCTTCAAAAACAAAATGTGTGCAATTGGTTTTACCCCTATAGTGTTCAGAAATGAGTACGTCAGAAACTTGTACATACCAAAATACCCAGTGAGTACAGGTGAATGATGTTAGGTTTATTATACATGTAATAATGCTTCATTTCAGCTGTTTCTTACTGAATAAAACGAATCGAATCAATTGAAAAGGGTGAAAATTCAATCGATACCTGTTGCTGAAATTGCCCTTGGTGGGTTTGTGGTTGCCCATATGCTGGACCTTGCTGCTGCATTGGAAGTGCTGGTTGCTGCTGCTGTTGTTGCTGCAGTTGTTGCTGTTGTTGTTGCTGTTGCTGTTGAAAGTGTTGCTCACCTCCAACACCCGTGCCTGATTGCTGCGGCTGCTGAACTGCAGCTGTCTGGTTTTGTTGAGCCCCTGGGACTGCCCCGGGTGCCTGTGCAGATGGAATGTGACTGGGTGCACTAGATACAGATGTTTGTGCAGAACCTCCACCAGGGGCAGCACTCATGGCAGCTTGAGAGGCCAGAGAAGGGGCTGATGAAGCTAGTACCACAGACTCTGTGGCTTTATTAGCTTGGGGTGCAGAGGAAGAACCATGAAGCACTGGTTGCCCTGGCACAGGCGGTATAGGGTGAGTAAGCACAGGGTTCTGAGTTGGATCCAAGTTCAGATTACCCATGTTTTGTGTGACTTGACTGATGCCTGATGCTTGTGTTGTACTGGCAGGGGTCTGAGAAGGCATGTTTGGATGGCTCGGGTTTGTGTTCGATGCTGAAATTGGCTGGCTTGGATTTGGCGGAGTTGAGTTTACTGCAGGCTGGGTAAGAAGGGATACTGCTTCGGCTGGTAGAGACGGGACACTTACAGAGGCAACGCTTGCTGCTAAATTTGTAGATGCTGTGTTTTGTGGGGTTGTGAGTCTTACTGGAGGTACAAGGCTGGCAGTCGGAGGGGCAGCAGGAGCCAAGAGGATGTTGGCCGGCATTGGGGGAACCTCAGCCGACCAGAGGGGCGGGGAGGGATTCACAGACGTCAGTGTCCCTCGTTGAACGCTGCGGAAAGCACTATGGTGAGTGCTTGGGGACTCGTCGGTAGGGCTGAGTTCCTTGGGGCCCTGGGGAACAGTCCGCTGCATTTGGGAAGCCGAGAGCTTGGGCAGACCTGTTGGAGGTAATGAAGTAGGAGCTGAGTCAGCAGGTGCAGGGAGCGCGGATTGATTCAGACCTGGCTGGACCGATGCATCCAGCTTGCTTTCTTGTGTCAAAGTTGTTGCATTAGGAACCGAGACTGGGCTGACTGTTGATGACACAGGTGGCTCGTTTTGCATTGGCTGTACAGACATTTCTCCCATCATACGACCACTGTCCTGCTGAAATTGGGAGCCTTGTCCCAGATTTAGGTTGGGAATTGTCGGCTGAGGGGCTGATTGTTCAACCGGCGGTTGCTGCTCATTCTCAAGATTCCTGGGTGATGAAGTTGGGCGTTCTGGTTGGCTTTGTTGGTTTTGATACAAGGGGGCTACAGAGCTGATTTGTGGAGATGGGTCTGATACTATCGTTTCACCGTTCTGAATTGAGCAAGATTGTTCTATGGAAGCAGCATCAAGAGAATCTGGAGGCAAATTGGCATCACGTGACTCACTTTGTTCTATTTGCCGAGGCGTTGAGCCTTGGCCCGTCGAGCCCTGCAACACAACTGGAGAACCAGCCGCTCCTCCCGGACTCGCCGAACCCAAACTGGTGTCTCGGGAAACTGGGCTGAGAGAGGGATGACCAGGCTGTTCTCCAAGCATGGAGTTGCTTCTACTGGTGGAAGTTGATGGAGGCAAGGACTGGGAGCTCACTGACCCACTGTGCCTTAAGCTGCCTTGACTATGACTGCTCATTTGGTCATCTGGGATTGATGGACTTCGCTGGACAGGTAATACGGGTGGACCTGTCTTTTCGGGTGCCAAACTGTCAGAGCTGGATGACTGATAGCCCCCTTCAGATGATGGTACTAATGGACTTGGCATGACAGAAGCGTCGTTTCTCATCCTGGCAAAGTTGGAATCTGGCTGGTGAGATGATATCCCAATCTGCTGTGACTGTCCAAAGGTAGGAGCTGCTACTGGCTGATCTGCGAATGGACTACTTTCTTTTGATCGATTCTGGTTAGGTTCTGTAAGTCCATGGTTTGTGTTCCTGGGATCAGTTTGATTAGAATTATGGGATAATTCATAGCCTCCAAAAATCCTGCTATCAGTGTTCGTAGTAGGAACTTGATCAGCAGCCTGCCCTTGATAGAATGTCATATCTGACGGATGGGACACTGGGGGTTGAAAAGGTTGTTGTTGAACAGCAAATTGCTGAGGTTCCACGCCAGGCTGATAATGGCGCTGTTGGCCATAGGAATCGGCACCTTGTAGGATGTGATCTTGGACTTGGGACTGTCCTTCACTGGAATGTGGTGATACAGACTGTCTGGGGTCATCAGTCGCAGCTGGACTGAGGGCATGATCTGGGGTCTGTCGCTCGCTAGCTGACAAACTTGGCGTTCCGCTGGAAGCCAACACATCAGAGTCCTCACCGTGGTAAAAGGAACCGAAGCCCTTATGGGAGTCATTATCATCACTGTATGCATACTCTCCGTAATTCGAACCTGGTTGTCCAGCCTGTTGCTGTGCGTTGTTGTTTTCATAGGGTTGGTATAGGCCGCTTTGGATACCTGTATTGGGAGCTTGGTTGTAATCTGTGAAATGTTGCAGCCCTGGAACATTGCCTTGGCTCCAGGGTTGTTGATTGGCACTCATTGAGTCCACGTGGTTAGCTCCGTTCAAGGGTTGACTAGGCTGCTGCTGAGGGACGCCATTATTTTGCTGTGCACTGTTCCACTGCTCACCTGCGTATTGACTATCACCATAAAAAGGTTGCCCGTATGCCTGCTGGGGCTCCTTAGGGGCTTCTGGGAAGCCTTGGTTGTTGACTTGCTGTCCTCCGGGACCTTCTGGGATGACATTACCCTGAGCTGGCGGTGGTTCTCCGGGATTATAAGGGTTGAAAACTGCAGGTTGAGTCTTTGGATAATCAGACGGATTAAAGAACACTGGTTGACCACCTCCTGGTGGTTGGCTGAACCACTCTTGGCCGCTGGGTGGAGCCTGGTTATAGATTCCAGCATCTGGAGGGGGACCTGTTAGAGAAAGTCAAGGTACTCCTTTACTAAAGCTTTCACTGATTCACTTTTCATTTGATAACAAAGACCACACACTGATTGTGCTTTGTACCAGGGAGTTTCAACCAAGGGTCAATTACAGGGAGCTGCTTAGCACAGAAACTCACTAAGCACAGTAGATATTTTCTTAGCAAAAAAAACCATGTTACAAGCTAAAATATCATACGTGTATACTGATTGTGATTGGAATTGGCCGATTTTTGGGTAGCACATATATATATTTGCTTAGCAATATTTTATGCGTAGCAGCTCTATGAAATTTAGTCTATGTAATAGACCATGGCCTTTTATGCATGAACAGATTCGCTGATTAATTAGGCAAGACCCCGCCTCTTGACCTCCTAGATTTTGACCAATCAGCGGGCGTTTTCTATATCGGGTCTTCGGTCTTTCACCCGTTGCGCGTCACATAGACAATGGATAAAAAAACATGTGTCACGCGCCCTGTATCATCTTACACGATATCGCGCCCGGCTGTTGTAGTATAACAAAACACTGCATTCGAATAGACCAACCAAACCATTTAGTCCTGATTTAGGAATGAGATGACGTCACGATTTAGTAATGTTGACTTTGATTGGCTGGCGCGCGGCTTGCATTATATATATCAGCATGTCTAGACATATCAGACATTATACAGGAAACTTGCTCCGTGGATAACGGGTGATACTCAGACTATATGAAATTAGGCCCAGGATTCAAAAATAAGAGTCCGGTTTTCTGAACTTAAAAGAAGCTAACTTGCTCTCTCGTATCACAATGTATTGATAAACACACTGAATGTCCAATTTCAAATGTGGTCTTTAGAAAACACTCTGGATAAAATCATGATTGTACCAACCACAGAAGTGATCACCGCCGAGACTTCAGTTTAACGTTGGGTCTGAAACTACTTCACTGCATATATTACAAGAGCTACGACAGAATTTACCACAACGAATATTTTTATACGAGTACCAGGTTTGTGTTCAGCAATAATGAACTCACGATACACTGTATGCGTGTATAAAGGCTGTTTCAATATTTAGTTTTGCATTGGGCACTATTCATGAAATATTGATCTCTGTGGTAACAGGTGCACAATCACAAGTGAATCTGTTCCATGTTAAAATTTTGTGCATAATATAAATATATTAAAATTGTGTTTACCATTTTTAAATACAAACATGTAAGTCGTTAAGTTTTACTAGGATTCTCCTCAAGACTTTAGGAACTTTAAAAAAAAAAAGTAGTCAATTTAACACGCAATATAAGGCAATGTTTTTAAGATTAATAACAAAATCTGTCAACCATGAATTTTTTTGAATTTTTTTCTAAAAGGCAACATCACCTCCCATTGAAAATTGTTAAATCTTATAAAATGCTTTAAAAAAAAAATTGGTAAAATTTTCTGTATCTTATTTATATTTCATAATTCCATCTCTTAAACCTCCCAAGCAAGCATGTATTCTGTGCCTAGTTGTCCTTTCAGTCAAAATCGATCAAGGGACTGTTTTTAACAGTTAAGAGCTCTCAGCATACATAAAGCAGGATTGACTGGCTGTGATTGTTTGTGTAACTTGATACAGCTACCGCTATGCTTTGACTGTAGGTGATTAATATGCCAGCTGTGATTAATAAGCCAGCTGTGCCTACAACTTGCCCGCTTTCGTATGTTGGCAGAATTTTACTGATTTCTCGACTTATAACATGATCTGATGGTTGTTGATTAGCCGGTGTAATAAGGCAATAATCCCAACATTCCCAGATCCTTCAACTTCCACCAGGAAATTTTGAAGGATGGAACCAAGTCACTATTACTTTACCTGAGGCATGATGCCAATTGAAAATTAAAATGTAAAGAATGTGCCATTGATTTCCTGCACAGTGTAGGATTTTGAAGAGTTTGATTATCTCTGTTTAGGCCCAAAAAAATAATAGTTCTGCTTCCGGTTACCCTGCCTACCCTGTTTTGACAGCTCCTACCCTAATTTTTTTTTAGGGGGGGGAATGAAGAAGAAAAAAAAAAATCCATCGGTTACTGCCTTTTACCTTTGACTACACGGAAACACCCACATATGATCAACACCAAAGAAATGCCTCCCCCCCCAAAAAAAAAATCCCTACCTACCTACCCTATTTTCAAATACCATGTAATCGGAAGCAGAACTCTTCTCTATTTTTGGCCTTATCTGTCTTTAAAAGTCCACAATGTCTCAATGGTAATACATGGGTGCCTCTTACCTTGGTTGTAGAAGCCCCCTTGATTGGCCATTTGGCCTGGATCTCCACCTGACATGTTGCTGGATTATTTCCTGATTTTCTGTATGTGCTTGAAGTCTCGGGTGTTGTTTAAAAGTCCTGTGCATAGCAAGGGAGAAAAGTGGACAATGAATACAATGAGTTGACATAACCCAAACTTTCCCAAATCCTCCACAATCCTCTTTGCAAAATGGAGGATTTTGCAGGATTGCCGCTATATGGCAAAATTGTGTGGCTGATTTTGCAGGATGCATTGTTTTCAAGGTCATGGGCCGGACCTTGTGTTGTTTGTGCTCAGCCGTGCATAAATCTAGGCCTACATTATACTTGAAATCCTCCGCACTGCTCCAGGATGTCACTGTTTCTGCCTCGACAAATTGACAGTGATTGCTGGAGGATTTTGCAGGATTGAGGCAGTGGTCACCCCTCCAAGGACCACATTCAAGAAATAACGGAGGAGTTTGCAGGAGGCAGTTGGATGATTGAGCAGGACTGGGGTTGCATTGCAGCAAAATGCCCAGGAAGTTAGGGTTAAATTAAAGATCTAAGAGTGAAAGTCCTGGAGCTGCTTATTTTAAGAGCTCTCGTGGGTAACAGTCCCACCCAAGCAAGCTTGGACAAGCATTACATTCACTGTGTGGACAACAAAAGAGGTCCACATAAACCAGGTAGCAGCGACGTTGTGTGGATGTGGGGTGTTTCCCCCTCTCTGGAAAACAAGCTTAGAGGCATTATTTTGGGGTTAGGTTTATCTGTGGCAAAATGAAGAGAAACACGAAATGGAATCATAGATAAAAAGTTGGGTTGAAAGAGTTTTCACAGTGTGAGTAAAATGGGTTTTTTTCACAGGTTTTTCTTAATTACATGAAAACAAAGGAATATCCACACTATGTGTGTAATGTAAAATCGTTCGTGCATGCAGTGCTTCACCGAATGGACACTCTTGTATAAAAACGCATCAGCCAATTCCCCCTTACTTAAACTATTGTAACCCTAACCTTCCCAGATCCTCCCCAAAATACATGTGGGAGTTTGGAGGGTTTTGCAGGATTCAGGAAGATACAGACAAACCCCTCCATCCTTACATGGGTTTTATAGCCCCCAAGAACACACAAACCAAACTAAATATTGTCTGATGACTTTATCCCTTTTTTTCTCTTTGCAAAAATATGATAGTCAAGTTTGTTTTAAATTTATGTGGGGTTATAAAAAACAATTTTTTTCAGTGACATATGTATTTCAATGCATGCCATCATGATTTAACAGACGGTAATTCAATATAACAATGTTAAATACAATTGGGTTACTAAATACTAGTGGCTGTGCCAGCTGCAAGTGATTTTGTTTGCTTGTTGTTCAATTTGTGAGTTTTGGCTTCTGTTGTTTGTTGGGGGTGGGGTGGATGATGGGGTGCTAATGAGGTGCAAAGTGACAATGGTGGGCAACTTAAGTTAATCTGTTAAGCCCAACTTGGGTCATCCCTCTAATAATCAACTATGCCACCCCCACCACCAATGTGCACAGCATTAAGTAAGTTAGTACCACTGTTTGTGTTATGAAAGCAATGGGAACTACTTTTTTTGTGGATATTAAACTTTAAAGCACTGATTATCATTGCCAACTTTAGCCATAATCAGCCATAAATAATTGAATGAAACATATTCCTGGGAAGAATTCCATACATGGACATCACTATTTTTTCCTGCAGTGACCTAGTAAAAGTCAAATTATGCAGGGAAAATATTGAAGAAAACACTTGGAATTTTTCAGACCTGTCTCATAGGGTTTGTGCACAGGGTGTCAAGTGACGTCCAGGTATGGAACTCTTTCCATATTCCTTAATATAATAAATGGAAACAAGCAACATTTTTACAAAATGACAATGGTCGTTGCTACAAAGTAAAATCATTCATTTGTGCACTCCCAAAACAGCATTCTTTCTCCTCTCTGCTAGGTTGGTAAAGAGGCAAGTTCTCCCTCATTCATAACTTTGAAATATTTTAAACCAAATTTATTTACCGGTAAACAGAGAGAGGAGCAGTGCCCACATTTTTTTCACGAAATTAGTGAAGCAGAAAACAATACACATTCGCCTGCGGAAGCGCAAAGCACAGACGTGAACGGGGAAAGGCAAATTGATCACATGAACGTGAACGTGTAACATAATATTGCCAAAAAATAACAATATTCCACTACGTAAGTTGCTTGTACCTACCTCTTTTGAATGTACGATTGTATTGGACGGATACTTGGCGATATTTGTTTGATTCTTACCCCAATTTACGTTCTAAAAAGGACAAAATATGGACTGGGCCGGTCGGCAGAAAGTGTCCGATTCGATGTCTGTATACGGCTACGTGTCTTTGCGCATGCGTGGAATGATACACGAAGATTTCGAAGATGAGAGTTATAATATTGAGATTCACTATGGGGTCGGGTTTTTTTCAACCTATTAAAGTCTTTAAAGACATCTGGAGTGTTTCTTGCAAAAAAATGGAGGTTTTGAACTTGGTTCCCTTTGTATAGGCAGGTCAACTAATTAACTTGTTTCTCATATTCTTATTTACACCATGTGATAAGCAGACTCGGCGGAACTGGGGGGCGGGGCCCAGATTTTCCCAGGCCAACAAAATCGCGGTTATAAAATAATGGGCCCCCTCGAGATGAAAACAAAACTGCCCCTAAAACGCACACATTGCAGCATATGATTGCGCTACAAATAAAATTGTCTCCTCTCTTTTAATGGAAAACTGCCCCTCAAAAATAATAATATAATAACGGAGTCTTACATAGCGCACGTATCTCTAACAACAATTAGGTACTCACGGTGCTGGAGATTATGTCTATTATTAAAGAAAGGTCAATAAAGTTTGTGAGAAATATGAGACTCATTATGTAGCACCTTATGGTTTACAAGATGCCCCTCTCGCATCAATTGATTGTGCATATTTAATTAATTCTCGAGATGGAAAACTATCACTCGATCGAAAGCACAAATACCCCTCTCGCAATGATAAAATTGTGCCCCTCTCGAGATGGAAAATTGGCCATCAAAACCAAAAGTGCAGCTCCCGATAACTTCTCGAGATGGAAAACTGCCCCTCGAAAGCACAATTTTATCAGTGCCCCGGTCGCAACATTAAAATTGTGCCCCTCTCATGGAAAACTGGCCTTAATAATGCTCGCGCTCCTCCTCACGCGAATAAAATGGTCAAAGAGCTGGCCATCAAAAGCTAAGTGCCCCTCTCAGTATAAAAAAAAAATGGTATCGCTACATGATTTATGGAAGGGCAGGTACTGACGGGGTCGCGCGGGGGGGAGGGGTGCGCGGTGAGCCAAAGGCCCTCCCCCCCTTCCCCAGTTGGAAAAGCGTCCCGCCACCCCTGGCGATAAGTAGTATGAGCATAGGGGGGGGGGGGGGTCTCCACCCTTTGGTGTGAGCCGCAAGCATGAGCAAAGTATCTTTGGAATGGGAGGTAGGATAACAAACGGCTGGGCAGGGGGCGGGGAGCCCCCCGTCCCGCCCCTCCCCATCCGGTAACGGGTCAAGTGTCAAAAGGCTAGGTGAAAGGTTTTTCGCTGGTAAACAGTCCCTGGAAAATCGCGTTGTCGATAACACTAACACCTGTCGGATACCATTGATATGTTAGGCCACGTCGCGAGATCCAAGTTGACACGGCCCGGACAAGCTGTTAACTGTTCTGAATTTCCAATTTTCTTTCATTTTTGAAGCAAACAAGAACAATAAAACGATCGCCATGGTGTTGATGACAATGATCGCTCGGTTGGCGGATGGCCTACCGCTAGCTGCCTCGATGCAAGAGGATGAACAGGCAAGTAAACTGCAATCTCGTTGTGAATACGATTGACCAGTTATGATATGTGGTTTAAAACGTACAGTTTTCGACGGTAAAATATGACGTTATTAAATCATGTGACGTTAGTAAATGCTAGAATGTTTTATGTCATGTCCAAGTTTAAATCAAAGTTTGGAAAAAAGAAGGAAAATGACTGTTTGGTCTTCTGAGTTTCTACTCCTTTTTTTTTTAAATCAAGCTCCACCCCCAAATCGGCAAGATTAATGAAGATAGTGGATATTTTGCCGGAGGTAATGACAGCAAACTAACGATTACTAAAGGTTTGCCGGCAGCAATCCATATCAACAGAGGGCGCTGTACTCTTTAAAATAGGGCTGAATTATAAGATGTATTAAATTCCCACCAAAAGTTGTGTAGCACTAGCACGTTTGGTGTAATGGTTAAGCAAAGGCTCTAGTAAGCAGGATGACTCGCGTTCGATTCCGACCGCACCACATTTTTAAGGTTTTTTTTCTCATCCCCAAATAAATAAGAATATTCTTCTTTTATTATTTTAACATGTCTCAAACATTTTTTGCAGAGTATTACATTTTCTTTTTCAGATTTGTGGCTCTGGAGGATTTTTTTTAAAAGGGAAATAAAGTCCGAAATTATAAAATGGTCTGAATTCCATCTTGTGAATACGAGGTAACAACGATAATTTTGGCATGGAGCCAGACTAAAACTTGTCACCGGAAAATGTTTAAGTACAAAAAAACAGTAACTGCGCATGTTCAGTGCATATCCGGCAAACTAACGATTACTAAAGGTTTGCCGTCTCCGGCAAAATATACACTGCCATTAATGAAAGTGGGTTTACCTCTTAAAATGATCCTCATACCGTTTTGGCTCTGCATGCCGGTTTGGGAAAAAATTAAGGGCCCAAGCAGCTCCACTGTTGACCAAGATATTACAAGTACTTATAGTTAGCGGAAAGATTCCCATATCTGGCCATCGCTAATTTTTCCCTTCAGTGACTAGTATCAGCCATCAGAAAGTGATAATATGCCCTAAAATAAAAGTAAAATTTAGCTGGGATTTGGGAAAATATTGAAGTTTTACTAAGAAAACACTTAGAAAGTTTCAGACCAGTCCCATATGGTTTGTACATGCACAGGGGGACAAGTGATGGCCAGATATGGGAATCTTTCCCAGTTACGCTTTCTCGACCTAGGGCAACTTAAGAATGGCCATTTCTGAACTACCCCCCCCCCCCCCCCCACCCAACGGGCAATAGCACGGTGCCATCAAACCTTTTGTGCTGAAATTGTTAATTAAACTCCACCTAGCTCCCGGTCTAAAATAAATTCAACAGATGCATGATAGAAGTAGAAAAGATGTTTTTACTTGGCCGACCTAACCGGTATTTCTGTTCATTATTTTATTACAGTCTGGCCGCAGTTTCATGGAATATCAGAACCAAGCCAAGATGCTCTTCAAAAAACTCAACCACCAGTCACCGACAAAATGCAGCATAGAAAGTGGTCCTATGGTATTTCAGTAAGTTGAAAAGAACTCTGTCTTTAACCCTCCTTTTGTTTGATAAGTCACAGACAGTCAAAAAATCAATCCTGTTCCCCTGCTATGACTTATACACAGGCTAGTCACCAACAGGCAGATCATATTTCTTGTAGGCACTGTGTCAGTCAAATTCCATCCACAGACAAAAGCAGGTAACTGGTAGGCACAGCTGGCTTATCAATCTCCCACAGTCAAAGCATAGCTTTATCAGGTTTTATAACAACCACAGCCAGTCAATCCTGCTTTCTTAAGGCAGGGAGCACTCAACTGTTAAAAACAGTCACTTGATTTAATTTTACTGCTAAGATGGCCCAGTCCGAAAACTTGGGACTCTCAAATGTGTATGAGAGTCCCAAAACTTAAGGTACTGAAAACATGCAATACAGGAAAATAGACTGGCACCTGAAACAACCTGTTCAAAATTGCTTCAGTACTGCATCAATCAACTGTCCCAAAAGAAACATGTGGCATGAACCGGGAACTAGTCTCCATATACTACACATTTCTCCATAGTCAGCCACCAGACTAATGACACTGAATGAACAGTTCAGTCTTTTCAAATAGTTGGACCATGGTGGGACATGTACCAGTCTGGTCTTTAGCCTCATTTTGAAATCACTTGACTTCCCTCTCATGGGCAAAATATTGAAGAAATGTCTCCTTTAAAAATTGAACTGAGTCTGCAAACTTGGTTGGTGAAATACTGAGGACTTTTTCTTTGCCCAATGGAATGTTTGGAGAAATTTGCTGGCTAAAGTGTGAGTAAAGTTGGCCTGATTTAGTTTTGCACGTTTCAGAACACTCCAGGTCCCAGTCTGGAGCTGGCCTTGTTGAAATTGCCAGCCAGAGAGGCTTAATATCTGTGAGGGACTCAACTACACTGCACCCAAAAGGCTAGTAATACTCTCCATCATGTTACCCTTTCTCACTGTCCCAGTTACATAATAGAGGTCGGAGTGGTTTATTTGGTCCTGTGTGAGAAGCAGTACGCCAAGCGGCTAGCCTTTGCCTACCTGGAAGAGTTACAGCAGGAATTCTACTCGCAGAACAGCAAAAAGGTCAGCACGGTCACCAGACCCTACTCCTTCATTGAGTTCGGTAAGGACGTATAAATTTGTGTGCGATGATTTAATTTCAGTCTCTTGTGTCTTTTCGTTAGTTTGTTACGCACTCCAAGAATCAAGAAACCATCTTTGGCATCTGCTAGTTAAGTACATCATAGGAGCGTTTGTTCCTGAAAAAAAATCACGGTTTAAAGTCATCAGACTGTCTGACATTTATGGTCAAAGCCTTTTCAACAGCAGCGCGTGCTTTGCTTTCAAAGCTGAATTCAGCTTTAAAAAAAACTAGAATTAATTCTCATCCATTCACGATTTTTGGCTGTAGCACAAACAAAATCAGAATTTATAATGCACGCTTTTTTTTATGATCCACTAAGCCGAAGGCAATTTATAATTTCCACGATTCCTTAAAGTGTGTATGGCACTCTCCAAAATAACCTGTAGAGAGAAGACAAATGAAGAAATTCAGTTTTAAAGAAGGGAGGAAAATCTTAGATGTTATTCCAGGGGAAAGCCCAAAGAATTAGGTAGGGAGTAAAAAGTCAATCCACATGGCCTCGTGGTCTGGGGCATTGAATTCGTTGTCTGCAGGTAATTCTGCAGGTTATCGGTTCGAGTCCAGCCAGGGGTTATGGCGCGTGTGCCCTTGGGCAAGGCACTTTGTCACTCATTGCTTCTTCCAACCCAGGAGTAAATGGGTACCTGCCAGGGCAGGGATGGTTATTGTGATTGAATCAGCTTCCTTGCGCCTAACAGGCAGCATCAAGCTGTAAACTCCCCAGGGAGCTGAGATGGTATTTGAAATGTTTAATTGGCCCAGTGATCAGAAAAAATTTAAAGTGCTTTGACCTCAGTTAAATGCGCTATATAAAAACCGGTTATTTTTATAATAATGGATCATGATAATCTAACCTCGGTAACGAAGAAAGAAGGCAAGGAAAGTGCCATTGCACCAACCTGCCTCTCTCACAAAGTGTGCACCTCAATGAGATTTAAAGTAACCTTGTTTTTTATGTTTGTCTACAGACACATACATCCAGAAGCTGAAGAAATCCTACACAGATACCCGGGCCAGACGGAACATCGGCCACATCAACACAGAGCTGCAGGATGTACAAAGGATCATGGTCCAGAATATCGACGACGTCATGCAGAGAGGGGTAGCACTATCAGGTGGGTGTGATCACATGACTTTATAAGCCACAGGTATAATTCATTAGTGTAGTTGCACCAGACTAATGCGAAGGTTGTATTTATATAATTAATGCATCTTTGGCCAATAGGTCATTTACAATTTGCCAAAAGCAAGAGCACCTTCTATTTCAGAGCAGGTTTATGTGTGACCAAATGATGCTTTTAGTTGTAGTTGGACAATGAGTCTGCATCACCGAATATTCAAGAAATTGAGCTCAATAAAAATGTTAAAACTTTACAGAGAAGACTGCCAATATGTTTACATTTTTATAAATACATGCAATGTAAAAATTATGTAAAACATTAAAAATATCACCTGTCTTTACCTCCAAAAATTATGTTTGTCATTGTGAAAGTATTGAATCAAATAACAGCTCAACTTTTTTTTTAAACTTCCAGGAGTCTTACAACTCAAAATGATTGGCTTGAAATTCAGATTTTCTCCCCAAATTGCAATGTCCCAAGTGGAATAACTTCAAAGGATGTGTGACACTTTTAAAGGGCTCAATTGTGATGCGATCAAGCTGCATGAGTTGTTTGTCAGGAATATTCATTTGGAGATACAGGCCAAAATAGGGCCACTTCATCACATCACTTTATCGAATCTCTTGGTGTTCCGACTTGATTTTTGAACTAAAGATGGAACCAGCATGCGGTTTTCACAGCAGTAATGCCGAGATTGTGCTCTTTTCAAATCTGTAATAAAAAAAATTTGACCGGGGTCGACAAACGAAATAAGAGGCCATCACAAGAAGTTTTATCAACTGAAATCCCATTGAGGACTATCACTGTATTGACCACATGGCTAAGAGTTGCTCTTGCACTCATATTTTTTTGGTTTTGTTATTCCCAGATTTGGACAACAAAGCCAGCAATCTCTCCTCGTTATCCAAGAAATACAAGCAGGACGCCAAATACCTGAACTTGAGGTCAAGGAACGCCAAGATTGCCGCAGTCGTCACATTAGTCGTAATCTTTCTCATCTACCTTAGATATTGGTGGTTTTAGGAGTAATAGGCACTTTTCTTTTAATATGTACTGTACCTGTATATGTGTATATAAATATTCTAATAATAAAATTTGCTTTGTAAACTGATTAGCAGGTGGGGAGATACGTAAGGTGTATTTCTGAGCAATGAGGGCGCTACAACATTTTTGGGTAAAAACACTGAATCCTGGGTTATTGAAGGAATGTACATGTTTTCCTAAACCAAAAATTATCAAAAAATTATGTTTAATTTTCAGATATTGGTTCCCTGCGCAAACAAGAGAGGGCGCTTTTTTTCCACTTTTGAGAGCCCAGTGCACGTACTAGTTTTCGTGGGTATAGCGCGATGTTCGCACAACTAATTTTATTCCAAATGTGCACAAAAGCCATTGCGTCTCTGCGCGAGTGTTGGGCGTTGTCGCTAATGCTTCTAATGTCTGTAGTCTGTACAAGTGGTCAACCTCACCCCTTACTCTCCCTTATTTACCATTGAGGGGGTACTTGAACATGGAGCCCATAGATAAAGCTGCCAAATTTCTTCAATAAACATGATATTTCTGCTGTTGGTACCCAGAAATGGTGTCTTCGCAGTGCTCTTGATTAAATAATTATGGCCAATTGGCAGGATTTTGTGAATTGTGATCGCTTTCTGATGCAAAATTCATAACTTCACTTTTGTTGCGCATCATGACTTTCTGGGGAGGGGGTGTTGCAAAAGAATGCTCAATGGTAGAGACATCTTTAGAATGGTTTTATAGGCTACTAGAATATTCACTACATATTGCACTATAGTTGTATGAGAAATGGCCCAAAAAAAAGCTAGCTGTCATCATGCAAGCTGAATCGTTGGTAAAACAGGTCACAGGATTTCACCTTTGCTGACCAAACTTTAAATCACAACCCACTTGCCTACGACTTCAGTTAAATATTGTTTTTAAAATGATGATGAAATATCAGCAAATATTACTTCTCTTAACCAGAAGTATCAAAACTGTGCTGATTGTATATAATCAGGCGGTTGCAAAGGTACATGTGTTAACTAATAAGTTCTTCATTAAAACATTTCTTACTTTTCAACAACTTACTAATTTTGTCGCCAAGTTGCGCAAGCACTGGCCATGAAATTGCAAAACTGATTTCTATAGGCTGCCATCCATTTTGCATGCCATTTGTGCTACTGGTATGCTTCTGAATGGTGGTACCAGCACTATTATGACTATGGACATTCCAAACTTTTTTTTCCTTGTATAAGATAATATTTATCATTTTGTTTTATGGTACTCCGCACTGTACAATGCAGTCAAGACATACATTTTAGCAGGTAATGTTTTCAGTCGGATTTGTGGGTCTTTCTATAAATTATTTTAGTCAGCACACTGTTTTTTAAACTTTTGGCCTATAAGCATGGGCGTCGCGGGAGGGGGGGGGGCCAAGGGCTTCCCCCCTCTGGAAAAGAGAGGGGGAAAAACGAGGGGGGGGGGAGGCGCGGAATCAAATTGGTATTAATGTCCCTGCCCCCTCGAAAAATGATAATTGATAATACACTAAAAAAGTACAGGGATTTCAGGGGAAAATGTGCTATGCACCCTCTAGAACAAATCCTAGCGACGCCCATGCCTGTCGGTGTAATCTGCTGGGCTTATCAAAAAAAATAAAATCTGTGAAGGATTTTTGTAAGGATTAATTGAATACAGGCCATGGTTTGACATTTTTTTCTGTAGCGGGGACGGGAGTTAACATAGACACACAAAAAAGTGGACCCCAAATTTATAGATCGACCCTCGTGTTTGCATTCATTGTGTTAAATCTTCACAATTGAAGATTTAATATTTTTTTAATAAAAAAAACAAAAACTTGAGTCTCCCGCTGTGCAACTTGTAGGCATAATATTTATTACAACTCAAAACCAAATGACATTAAAACAGAACCTGATGCTATTACAAAGCAATCATCAGCCTTTGTAGCTTTTTTCTCTTGGTGTATTTTCTGATGTATTTGCCAAAGGCTTATATTTGAAGTCTGTGTGTACTCACAGGTGGACATTAAAAAAAATCAGCCCTGTCAAGGTTTTCAGCAACCGTAATGTTACCAATTATAAGCATCCATATCAAGTCATCCGTGAGTATGGAACACTTTTCATCGATACAAAAGTAATTTTCCTTTTCCATGAGATAACCCCATACCGGTACCACAATCTAGAAGTTCAATGTAACGATACCTGCTACACACATTGAAAATGCAGTATCAACTACACATTCCAATCGCCAGCCAATCAGAGTCGACTTTAAGAAACTGTGACGTCATATTGATAAAAAATGTGGACTAAGCTGTTGATTGGTCAATTTGGCTGCCGTGTTTTTGTAAAACAACAACGGCTTAAAAGTAGAAAGATTGCGGCAACACCATGTGGAAAGTAATCTCTTCTAGGAAGAAGTGTGATTCTTAAAAGAACAGGTTGCTTGAGTGAAAAATTCCTTTATCTTATCCGCCACGCAAAGCTTCAAGTCACATATAACAACGGGTTACCAAAGACCCGACAGAAGGCGCCCGCTGAATGGTCAGAATCTCGAGGTCAAGACGCAGTCTTGTTTTACAAAATTAATCGCCCAAATCTGCTCGCATATCATAGACCCTTGCTTCGCAAGGAGATACTCCATAGACTATCCAGTCTGTTAGTAAAAACGTCATACACGCGCGCACCACTGATTACTAGCCCCCGTTGGATAAGCACTCAAGCTGCGTTAGCTTCCCGTTCCAATAGTTCCAATACTACTTATTGGCAGTGGATGTGGTTTTAAGTGATGCCACACTAACAAACTGGATGACGCCACCAGCTGCTGAGTCGTGCAGTCGCAGAGAGTTTTCAGTGGCCACCCGTTCAGAAGACCATGAGTTTGCGGTGTTCCTCTCTGCTGTTCCGCTGTCTCTTTATCTTCTTCTCTGAGGATTTCAGATTGTGTAGTATACGTTCCGTCCCGTCAATCTTCTCCTGGATCTTGGATGCGGTCATCTTGTCCCTAGGGAGAAGGTGGAGTCTTCAGTTATAACAATGCCCTTTTGTAAACATTTTTATTTTAATTTTTCATAAATTCATAGAAGGAACCTATGTGCAAGCCAGTGGGTTGGGGATGTGGTTAGGTATTGTTTCCAGGTTTACCCACATATTCCCATTATTGGATCCAAAGGTTGATTTAAGGAACAGTTGAAAGTGTGTTCCTGTGTTCTTTTCGAGTTTCATCATAGAAAAAATAGATTCCTTTTCTAAATTGCTATTTTTTCTATCAGTACAAAAGTTATTCACTTTTGAATGAGACATCAACCGAAAAATTTTGGCCCATGTTATTTATTGAATTACTACTTTACAATTTTGAAATATTGGCTGCCAGATAATAAAATTTCGTTCTTGCGGGGTAGGCTGGTTGCAGCCACACAATCAGTATCGCTAATATACAGACCAGGAGCCAGTGCCCGAAACAAAAACAAACTTTCTCAGAGTGTTAGGGTTGAACTTCAAATCCATTTTCACACCGTTTTAATCTCAATACGACGGCCCCACAAAGCCATACCTCTGGTTTCTCCGCAGAGATTCCTGTAATCGCACAAGCTGCTTCTCTGTGCTCCGAATGTCCTCTTGTGTCCTGACAAGCTATCAAGAAAACAAAATAGGATGCCTTCCCAAGTTAACAAAAGTATAAACTAAGAAATTGTATTTCAAAAGACCTATGATCCATTGATCCAATTCTAATTGCACTTAAGACCTCCAGAACTTTTATACTCTCAAACAACACATACAACAGTCTAGGTTTACCACACTACTGAGGACCCTCATTGTTCCCTTCTTTTGTTCCAATTATTTGGACTGTAACTTTTCACGACATGTCCCATGAAGTTTATACACTAAAACCTCCCAAGGACTTGGGCACAGGTACTGGAAGTAATTGTTCACAGATAACCCCTTGTTCCCAGTCCTCAGACATAAAGGTTAACCAGGTACAAACCCACACACCTGAGCGATAAACCATCGTCCCATTTCACCAACCTGTATGTTGAGTTTCCTGTTTGGTTTCTCCTCCTGGGTATCTTTTGTGGTGTCCTTTTCTAGAAAACTTCTGCTGTCCATGTTTCGGTGAATCAACTCAGTTATTTTTGCTGATATTCAGATAGAAATACAGAAGAAATCAAATAAACATCACAAAAAGAAAAATTGACTGAGTACAATTGTTTGCAAGCAATTCTTTGGACAGAGCTTTTATATCAGTACTCTGGTAATTGTCTTGCAGTAAATGTACGTATGTCACAGTCTTCCATGGATATCAGTGTTGAAATCAAGTTTCTTTTCCATTAACTCTAACCCCCTAAGCTAACGGCGCAGCAAGAAATTTTTCAGGGAGGGGGTGACCACCTTTTTTTCCTCTGAATATTTCTAAGCCATGTCCAAATACTGCACACCAAGCACAAGCGGGCCATGTGCAGAGAGTACATTCAGCATATTGATCAGATGTGTGGCTACCACTGCCTTCCCCCCCCCCTCCCCCCCTCCCTCCCCCCCCCCCCCCCCCCGGGGGTGGGGGTGTGAGGTTAACCCCCATCACTGCCCACTGTACTATAAGCATACTCGTATAAAAGGTAATATAGTACAACTTAACCCTTAAACAAGACAATATGGTCAGTACACAGGCTTTTGATAATAAGTAGATTATGAGTATTTGAGCAAACAAAGATGCTGAAATTTTCTGAAGGTGTGCTTACACTGTTTTACTTGAATCCTAGTCTGAGTAATCTTTTTTTGCAGACAGGCTGTGCATCATAATACTCATTCCAATTCACTCAAAATACTCAATGCATCATAATACTCATTGCAATTTACTCAAAATACTCAATGAACACCATCCAAGTTCTTCAGCTTGATTCCCACTGTTCCACCCTACATTTCAGTTTATTCTGGGTCTCAAAAAAAGGACTCAAGTCACTCAACCGTAAAAGTGACTATAATATTCAGACTTACTTTTCTTGCCGCCCAGCTTTCTGTTGATGAAGTCGAAGACGTTCTCTTTCTTCCTCTGTTCACCGTTCAACAAAGACGACCCTCCTGGGTTGTGCTGGTGACCTTTGACCTTGCCTTTCTTCTTCTTTGGTTTACCCACAATGCCGAGCTTCTTCATCTCGCGCAGCTCCATGCATTTGTCCAATGATTTACCTGTTGACAAAAACTACACACTATAGACTCTCATACTAAAAATATGTTGGAAAGCAAAGAATGTCAGTGCTCGACTGGTAAACAAGAACCTATAGGAGTTCTCCAAGACTGTTTCGTGTTTAATTTTGTGTATGTGACAATATCAATCTTACTCCACTTACCCTGTGGAACAATAACAGCTTCCACTGGTTCCACTCTGCCCTCACCATACCTGCCTAAACCCTTCCTGAAAATGTAAACAAAAAGACATAGTAATAAGATAAAGGTTTACGGTAACATCGTGTGGCAAATCTCTTTTGTGAGTTTGTGAGGTTCTGGAAAAAAACGGGGGGAAACTTAACGTTTCGGACAGTATGCTCTGCCCATCATCAAGAGAATGTTTACGATGAGCTTTGACATTAAAGTATTTAAAAGGGTTAGGTAGAACAAATTTAAATTGTAGATTTGTAGCCAAGCACTAGTTATAATTTTGTGTAAAGGTCTTGAATAAAAAACAATGGTATTTGATGTGCAATGTCTCCAGATGACGGGCAGAGCATACTTTCCAAAACATTGAGTTTCCCTTGGTTTATTTCCGAACCTCACAAACTCAAAAACAGATTTGTCACATGGTGCTACCGTAAATCTTTTATCTTATTGCTACCTTCACCATGCATAAAGACATAGTGCTGACAACAATTGGAAAGTGCAGATCAAATACCATTATTTTTTTATTTAAGACAGCTTAGCTACACAATCTACCATTTAACATTGCTCTGCCTCACCCTTTTAAATACTTTAGTATCTAAGTTCATCCTCTGATAAACAAAAATAAATTAATGAGTACCCTCCAAAACACTCCATTCGGAGCCCTTGTTGATTGGGTTTTGCATCTATGTGGAGGGTCTGGCATGACCAGCTGATTGGCAAAAATATTACACTCAAAAGCAAGAGTTATGAATCTAGCACTTGATATTAAAATTTGTAGACACTATAAACACTTAAATATATCTTTGTTTTGCAAAGATTTAAGTTTGAAACTGTGCAAATTTCAGACATTCTGCCCTCCATACCAAGACTAGGCAAGCCTAATCTGGTCTCATTAGTTATCAGAGTTAATTGTTTTGGCGAAGGTGAGGCTTATGCAAGTGTAATTCACAAGTGTCTGTCAGTCAGTGAGTCAGGCGCAAAGAGGACTATAGGCTTGCCCCCTTGGACCAGCAAATACATATAAACTAAATTTAGTGCTCATAGTGATAGACACACCTACCCGAATTCATAACCCATCTTGGCCATGAGTTTGGAGCCTATCCCCCTGGTGTGGGCCTCCCATTCACCCAGGGGGACACCGTCTCCTGACGGTCGCCAGGCAACACAGGGAAACTCCTCCTGCTGCTCATCGGGTCTTGAGTAGCTGGTAGATGGGAGACTGACATCATCATCGTCATCCTCGTCGCTATCGTCTTCACTGGATGATGAGAGGGGTGGTGATGGCTCCGCCCTTTGTTCTGATAAACATTTTGACAATGAATTTTATGGTGGGAGACTGGAAAAGTTTTGAACTTATTACTGTGCATATAGTATGGGCAGAGGCATGGGTAAACCCGTCCACTAGTTCCTTCTGGCCATTCTATAAAATTTAGCAAATTCTCAGATAATTCCGACAGTTATTTGTGTATGATTGAATCAACTAAACAGCAACCAACAGAATTTTCAATTCTTTAAAGATTCACCTTAGAATTTAGGGGGAAAAATACAAAAAGTGACACACATTAATGCCAACAACTCCTTTGCACACAACACATTTTTTTCTAAAACCACAAATCTAATAATTTTTTTGGGCTAACAACTTTGTGTTTTGTCAAACAGCAAAAAGTTAAGTAAACAGTTAAGCATCAATATTAAAAGTCAGTGTTTTGACTAAAAAAAATACTGGATCTGTTCTGATGACATCACACTCTTTTTACGTGTGTGCTTTCCTATGGTGCTCAGTGGACCGTGGGCCCCCACTGGCTCCATAGGAAAGTGCACATGTAAACAAAGTGTGACGTCACCAGTACAGAGGCTTATTAGTGGTTGGTTGATTGAGTAGAAATCATCAATTTTTTTATCAATCTGGTCAAGCAGTGATATTCTTTGTCTCTGCCAATGAATTCTAACATCAACTCTATTCTCACCTGATGGTAGAACACTTTCTACGTCAAGCGTTGCCGTGGTACCATACGACTCGTATTGCACTGTGACTTGGTGTTGCTCCTCGTCGATGTGTTGAATGGATGCAGGGTACCAGACCCCATCACTGTATCTTGCCAGGCATGGGGCTTCTAGCTCTAGTAAACTGCACAGTGTTTCAAAGGAACATTTAAAAGATCCTTTGTAGAATTGTTTTGCAAACTGTTGTATCTGCAAGTGTCGATGTGAAGCAGAGTTTTCAGATAATAAAAGAACAAAATACATGTCAAATTGAGACTGCCACACACTGAGAAATGTCAGAGACTATGGTTTTTTATTTTTTATTCATAAATACCTAAGACAGTTTACCATTCCCAAGTGGCCAGTCTTTAACGGATGATAAAGACATGGCTGGCTGGTCTTAAACACTTTTCTAGTGTCACATGAAATTTGGACTCCTATGAAATCCGGTGCCTTTTACCATTTTATTGGTTGAACTGTGTGAGCATAGTGCCTGATTGGGCACTATGCTCAGGAAATTACACAGGCACGATCTCTTGAAGCATGTCTAGTTCACGCTGACGCAAATTCCATGCACTAACCTATATTAGTGAACCTGAACCACACGTGACCTTGCTTCAGCCAACCAGGATAAAGAACAAGCAAGAGGTGTGTTATAACATGTTTTATTTCAGGTGGATAGTAAATTTTAGCTCCCCTCGGTATTAAAAGTTGCAAACTAGTTTTGCCTTTTAGGAACTGTAGTTTGTCAACTTCCAATACCTCAGGGAGCTAACAACAACTAGCCACCCTCAAACCATGTTATATTTGTACATTATTACATTTCTTCATATATCTTATTTTTAAATACTCACCCGAAGTCCGGCTCTCTGAAGGAATGCAACTCTGATAACTTGACGATATATCCATGGGAAAACCTGGAGATTTAATAAGAGAGCAAGTACGGTCAATTATGTATAACTTTCAGAGTTCTCATTTACATTTGGCACACCGTTTTATTTTGCTTTTGTCAAATGATCATCAACACTTTTTCAACAAATGCACTGCACTTTAAAATGATGTCGAAGGCCAAAAAATATTCGGTCTCTGGTCAGACCAAAGTTCCGGAATTGACGCGGCCATGCGGTTTTGGTTTTTTTTTTGGTTTTTTTTTTTTTCTTCAAGCTTGGATTGTACAGACAAGGTGGGGTACTATTTTGCTTTTTTGGTGTCCTCGTGTACATTGGTTTCCTCCATAATTTGCCTTGGTGCAATTTCCCATTCCTTGGTGCTCTTTGGTAAAAAAAAAAATGAGGAGGTGCGGAAATAGAGGGCGCTGTTGGAGCTACCGCGGAACATTTTGGAAAAAAAAAGATCGCATGATTAAAATCGACGCGCGCGCTGACCAGAGACCGACTTATTTTTGGGGGGGGCCTAATAACTGCCTATAGTGGAATCCAGCGACCAGAATTCGAAGCTTTTACGACGGTGGTGTCACGCTCACGCGCATGCTGCACGCGTTCGTAAAGACACGGCACACATGCATTTTAGTATTCCTAGTGGTCGAAGGATCCAGGAGCGTGTGTGCCCTACCTGAGCGCGTCTCACACAAGTCTTGCGGCACCGCAGAAAATGGCTGCCTAAATGCGACCTGCGACCTACCTACAATCCTCGACTGAGAATCGGCAGGATCCCTCTAGAAAGTAAGGGCAGGGCTTCATGGACATGGAGGTAGGATTGCAGAACAGAACCCTGAGTGATGCCTACAGAAGGGGAAAAAAAACAAGAAAAATGGCTTTTCTCTTTTTATAAATGATAGCCCTGTATTCTGAGGCTTTGAACACAGACAATAGAGGTTTCTGACAAATTCAGGTATGAAAAAAAAAGAAGCGGGCACGGATGAGAAACTCAGGGTTTTTTTTACTTGGCGTCATTCATAGCAGCAAATGCAATGGAATATCAGTAATGGTTACCTCTTCCTTGACATCGTTCCTGGGCTCAACACACAGCACCACTGCATTCTGCCGTTGCCTGCCGCCCCACTCCTCCATGTGATCTACGCTGCACTTGGTGCCTGATATATCATCCTCCTCCCTCTCCTCCTCATCATCAGCACCTGCTGCCTCCTCTCCGGTTGTCTCACTGATCAAGGAGGAGGTTGAGTGGGATGGGAGGACTGTACTGTCATCATAATCATCATCAGCAATAGCTGCCTGTTTCAAACAAGATTTTCGAAACCAATGTTAAAAGTAACATGAATGTTCATTCAAGTACTAGTGTATTCCTTCCTGAAGCCCCAAATGAAGATAACTCAAAGACCATGTCCCAGTGGCCTGTTTTGCAACTTCAGCTTCACTGCAAAGAGCCAGCGATCGGACTGCCGGCATGCGGGTTACAACTGGGGCCAGCGGTAGTGATCAGGCTAACTCGCAAGTCAGGATTTTGTAGCGTTTATGGGCTGGAGTCCGATCACGATGGCATCGTGTACGCTGCATCCCCACTTGAAAAGACGAAGTGTGCAGGCAGTAATGACTCACGAAAAATAAGGTTCACAATGTTATTTACGCACCCTTCTTTGTGACTGTTAGGCTGCAGTTTCTCTGGGAATGGCTGAACAAACAATTTGTGACCCGCTCTGCAAAAATGAGTCTGATGTTGCATAGCTTGAATTCCAGCTTTTACCACTTTTAAATGGAAACAGTGAACATTTTCTCAAAATTTGGATTTTTTGATATTGTTTTATTTTGGTTGTTTGATAGTTTTAGTTCAGATATCTTACACAGAAATTTAAATATTGTAAGAAAAAGACTAACAAATTTATGGTTTTTGGTGCTTTTCTTGGTTAGTTACAGTGTATTTGTAATTTTTAAACCCTTTTTTTTCATTGAGACATTTCTTGCTTTTCAAAAACTTGACAGAATTAAAAAAGGCACAACAGTGTAACCAAATGTCCTAGAGAGGCCCATGATATACCAAATGAAAGCTTATTTCATTCCCATTTTATTAATGTAGTTAACTCAAAATTTCAGTTTTGCCACAACAGACTCATTTTTGTGGAGCGGGTCACATTTAGTTAAACAGAGGTACACTGCAGGAATTTTGAGTACTCGTGTACTCTTCTATTGACGGGAATGCAGTATTACTTTTAAATAAACAGAGTTTTGGGTTATCCGAATTTGACTTAACGAGAGTTTACTGTACTGTAATATTTTGGAAGTAATGCATGTCAACATTGAATGGAGAGATTTAGGACAACACAGAGATGCAAATGAAATGACCCAGTATCCGGTGAATCTGTTACGCACCAACTATGGCACCGTCCCAACTATAGTTGGGACACAGTCCCAAGTATTTGTTGGGGTAGTCTTATCCTGCCCCAACAAATACTCAAGACTGCCCAACTATACTTGGCACCATTGCCATAATTGGGGCGTAACAAATCCATTATGAAGTAAACATGTTTAAGAATGTTTTGGGAACCAGTCTGGATGTAAAATCACACCGAGTTGTTTGGGAGGTTTGATCCTGTACAAATACTATGAGAGATGTGAATCAAACTTTAGTAAAAACAAAGAGTCTCTTTCAAAGTACTCTGTACAGAATAGTAACGACTAAAATATCCCTGTTGGTTTTGAAGGATCTAGGATAATCAGTGATCGGAATTTCTATCAGGGGAATTTCACACCTGAAACGCAGCATATTCGTCATCAAACTTGTCTGTGGAGGAACTTGCAGTTGATGAGTGCCCCTGCTGCACGTATCCATCTCGTTGTGGAGACTTATCTTTCACAGATGAGCTACTGGTTTCGACTGAGGATGAGCCATCCACAAAACTCAGCAACTTGCTCTTCTTGAGGGACAGAAGACTCTCTTTTCAAAAAAGAAAATTATTCGGAAGTTTGCAATTAGACTTAATTGTCTATGGATATTTAAGATTAACAAACAGCTGTCATAAAAGCCGTGATCAATCCATCCAAGATGTTTAACCCTAACAACCCTGAGCCCATCAAGCTCCAACAGCGGGTTTTGCTTGATTTTGGCAGGGTTGGTACCGAACACTGGCCAGCTGGTGTTGGACTTTGATTGACTGGGTACCAAAGGCCCAGGGAGACCCTGTTGAATTTTGTGAGGTTCGGGGCAGAAGGGCATGAGATTTGTGAACACGTTGGAGTTTGAGGGAGTTCACTGGCATTTCTTCGTGGGTATGCTCACCCACGGTCCTCAGCACAGTTTGTGGTCAAATGTGCATGTACAGTGGAGTTTGGGGGAGTTCACAGGCATTTCTTCGTGGGTACGCTCACCCACGGTCCCCACTATACTTCTGTTCAAATATATTGCTTTATTTTGTTAGGTTTAGTACCATCCCTATCCAATCACTCGACAATGCATAGGCCCATCCATACCAAGTCAATCAAACTCCAACAGTTGGAGTTTGGCAGGTTTAGTACTGTTCCCTGTACAAGGCCTGTTGGAGTTTGGCAGTTTTGGTACTACCAGTGCTTACAGACCTGTATGCAGCTGTTGAAATTTGTTAGGTTTGGTATACTTTCTAGTGCAAGAGCGTAGGGTTAAAGTATTCAACATGCTACAGCTGCACCAAGTTTTGTAAAATTGATCCGAAGTGTATAGATCTCTCTCATAGGACACCGTCTTCATAGGAAAATTTCAACGCCATCAGGTGTGTGTGCGCACAGTTTGCAAAATGTTCTTAACACACCCGCATGTTGCTCGAAATTTCTTTGAAATACGGCGCAGCCAATGCGCGCAACAACAATTTGATGCAAAAAATGCCGATGAACGTGGCAATCTGTAGGAAGTGGCTGCACAAGATCTTACATATTGTATACAAACATTAACTGCTTCGAGTGGTATGGTAAAAACTAGCATCCTGAGGTGATCTATGGAGCATTCTGTTTTCCTGAGGCATAGCTGAGGGAAATGGTATGCTCCATGGATCACCGAGGGAGGCTAGTTTTACTACACCATGAGTAAAAGCAGTCATTGTTTAATTTAAAACACCTCACCCACAGATTTCTGCTTGATATTTTAAGAGATAACTGATCAATTTAACCAGGTTAAATCTGGTTGTTACATTGGTTTCTCTGCTTATAGTACACTTTCAGAACGAGGCCGCTATTGTACAGTCTCTGTGGCTGGACACAGCAAGATAGTAATAATTAAAAGCAAATGCCATGTGACTCGCTTTTGGCAATCACGATACAGAGTCTGTGAATGAGGCGTTGTAATATAAGTTATGCAAGAAGAGCAGCAGAAGCGCCCACCATCACAATATTTACCTTCAGTCAGCTGAATAACCTGCTGCAGATCGTCTCTGAGTTTAAGCAACTCTGCCTGGCCCTCAGTGCCAGCACTCAGCAGTACTGTCTCTACCTGCTGAAGCTGTAAAATGTCGAAAAAAATTAATTTCACTAGAAGGGTCCATGCAATGTAATTTTTTTGATTCAATCCTTGAAAACACCCCTTTGTGTTCCATTTAACCTTATTTTTACTTTCGTTTTGCCATTTTCAAGGATATTTTGGTGCCTTTGGGGTTTTTATGCAAATGAAAATTTCCACATTCATGAGCAAAAGTGTGATGTCATTTCAGGCAGAAACCTCAATGTTATAGTTGATTTTCCACAAAAAGTCATCAGATTTTGAAATATTTTGCTGCCACAAATGTTCTGTTCTTTGGTGATTCGTTGTTGTGTCAGTACTTGGCAGAAAGACAGTGAGCAAACTTTTTGTCACAGATTTTTTCAATGAACAAAATTTGTTGATTCACAATTCGAACAGAAAAACCCTACAGACAAATCCGGCGGCAGCCATTCTCTGCGGTGGCGCAAGGCTCGCGTGAGTCGCGCTCAGGTAGTACACACGCACACCAGACCCTTGAACTAATAGGAATACCAAAATGCGCGTGCGTCTCATCTTTAAGAATGTGTGCAGCATGCGCGCGAGCATGACACCACCGCAGTAAAAGCTTGTAATTCTGGTCGGCGGATTCCATTATAACTATAAGCCACTTTGGAGTTACAACTATGACTGCACACTTTAGATGACAACGATTAAGGTCTGTGGATAAACAGTGTGCCACACGCGTGCAAAATAATAGCAGCGTACCAACGAAATCAAAGAAAAGTTCCTTCTTAGTAGATGCAAAATGCCGATTGCTTTTAACTGGACCATGGTTTAAAGCTATAGTCCATCATTTGCAGCTATCCGAAAAGTAACTGGCGTAATTATTGTTGAAAAACATACTTGAAAGATAGTAAGGGGAATAAACTCCCTGTGAAATTAGGCCTATTCTTTCTGGCAAGCTGTCATTCTGAAGTAATCAACGAAAGAAGGCTTAAGAACGGTGCTTCTTAACCCTAAAGGGGCCGGGTTATTTTGACCATCTCTCAGCCGGGGGGGGGGGGGCGGATTCCCCCAAGATCTCAGCCATCGAGCGACGAAAAATTTTGAAACTCGGCACATGCATAGAGCAACTCTTCCTAAACATACCCAAGAAATTTCATGACTATAGGTCAAAGGGTTTTGGAATTATGGCTATTTAATTATTCATATGTACGAATGGCAATTCTGCTCTGTGTACACGACGTATATGCGAAAATTCAGTTTTCACGGCGCATAGTGCCGGAAAATTTTTCGCTACGCGGCAACCCGTGGTCCGATTTTTATGTTTTTGGTATCAAAAGATGCGCAAAGCTCGAGGCTAAAAAGTCATAACAGCTCGGGTCTCGAAAATCTTTTTTTTAGAGGCTATCACGGAAAAAGTTGAGGGGGGGCGGATTCTGCCCCCCCCCCCCCCGGCCCCTTTAGGGTTAAGACGCACCGTAGGAAAATTTAAATTAGTAGTTCATTTTGTTATTCGGTGAAGCGCGCGCAAGCATTGGCACGACGCACACGCACCCCCGGTTGCTATAATTCGTCGGATCAGTGCGCGACATTGCGTAGCTGCAATCGGCTCAGCGAGAACGTGTCTCGGACGCTGAATTCAGGCGCAATTCAAAACATGATTCAGCAACTTTTGATTTGAAATTGAGATCCTAGAATGCTGTTTTTCTCGAAATATACAGCTGAAGCTGAGCTGAAACTTCATCAGGTTAGTTGTTCAGTACCCTTCTTTAGATTTTGAGCACTTTTGTTGCTTCAAACGAATAAAATGCACAAATTACAAATGATGGACTATAGCTTTAAGATAATTGGTTTGCTCCAACTTTTAAAAAAAATTGCAATGTGCGGATTCAGTTACCCACGTCCCCCATAGACTTGTGTACATTATATGCTTTGTTTATCCACAGACCCTAATTGAATTGTCATCGAATGTGCGCACAAGCAGTTGTAACTCCGAAGTGGCTTATTACTACTGATCTTCCTGAAATGACATCACAGCAACAGCGCCCTCAGTTGTCCGGATAAGCATGGGAAATGTTAAATGTTTTTGAAAATGCAATCTTCAATCAAATTAACCAAAAAGGGATAGTTTTCATGGAGAAATGTTGCAACCTGACGCCACTTTTTCTTTATATATCATGTCAATGAAGGTCAGTCAATAGTCATTGCAAAAATGATAATAAGACATGAATCTGAGACTGAAAAACATTTCCAATCTTCTTGTTAAGAATACTTGGACAATTTTCTTGACTCTCCATAGACTTTGTACACAACCACTTAAGTGGCGTCAGGTTGCAACATTTTTTTCCGTTTTCATACATTTAGAGGATTACAATACAAAGTTTAAATATTTAAATACTTCTGGGAGGCCACTCATTGCAAAAATGTTGATAAGACATGAATCTGGGACTGAGAAACATTTCAAATTTTATTAGAAAACACTATGAAAATATGAAGTGGCTATTGTTACAGCAGCCATTGTTAAGCGCCCTCTACGATACTTTTTTGATACGCACGCAGGTATATAATTATTTGTTTCCCCACATTTTAGCGAGCAGTGCGACAGCTCAGTCGATAAAGGGTAGGATTTTACACCGCAAGGTTGCGAGTTCGCATCTCAGTTTTGCACTCAATTTTTTTTCCTTTTCTAACCTGAGGCTTTGGAGGATTTTTTTTAAAAGGAAAATAAAGTCCGAATTTCATAACGTTCAAATTCATTTTTTTCATTTTATATTTTCTTCTCATGTTTTTATAAAAGTTGCAGTTCTACCGTAACGATAGAAAATGGGAAATGCGTTACGGCTGCCGTAACGATAGCCACTGCGATGAAAACATACTCGACTCTCGACTCGAGCTCTCATTCTCAATATTGGTAGACATTGATAGATTTTGTACACAACCATTCACGCATTGATTTTAACCCGTGGACAGATGAACATCAAACCTGTTGTTTATATGTAAGGATCGACGTTTGTAAGGTTTCTTCTTCCATATCATGGACTGTTTAGCTGAGCACTAAACAGTCGCTATTGCACCGAAAGTGACACAAGCGTTGCAATGAAATGAGGAATCCGCCAAAACTGCTTACACAAAAAGTTACATACGGTGCATGCACGCAGCCGGCGCGCGAGCATGTGGAAGTATTTTAAACATGGTGCCCTCGCAAATTATTCAGTGAATATAATGAAAAGAAGTCAGACAGCTAGTTAATATTTTTTATTTTGCAACGTGTAGTTGATGATTGGCGGAACTTACAAATCTAGTTTTGAGCCATGGAGGAATATTCCTCTATGCTTGAACGAACCAAGATTACTAATTGTAAACCCACTTCAAAAATTCAGACGAATAATTATAAGACATACATCAACTTAAACCTTTATTCACCCTCTTTCACTTTCTGTCCATCGCCATGTTGAAAAAGAGCAAAAACGGCCGGGGCGGATCCATGCATATGGTGGGGTAGGGGGGGGGATTGGGGGTAGCTTTCGGGGAATTTCGCTTTCCGGGAGGGGGGGGGGAGATTTAACAGGCATGTGCTCTTTTTTTGCATAATTGTCATAATTGTGGCCCAATGAGGGGTGGGGGGGGGTAAAATCCCCAACACCCCCGTAGATCCGCCACTATTGAACCATTATTCCTCCATGATTGAACACTGTAAAAACTGCCTTACCACTTTTTCACGCATGTTTGAATCTACGACATGCTTAGGTTTATGGCCGTCTGTGACATGCTTACAGGTACATGTCACAAGTGCTGTAGTCTTCAATTATGAAGTTAGCACTTAATTGGAAGAAGATGACTAAATCATCAACCAGAAGGCGCTACACTGTCACTAAAATATAAATAATAAGAGTATATAAAACATGATTAATGCAAATACACACTTTTATAATTTTTTGCATCGCTTGTATCAGAGGGGGGATCGAACCTTACAAATAAATTGAACTTTTGTATAAGTTATTATTGACCTAACAGGCTCTCAGAATGTGCAAAAAAAATCTACACGTGTCTTAGACTAAATGTGAAGAAAGAAAAGTGTTTAAACTCAAAGTATTGTACAGTGTATGTGTTGCAACTTGTCAACCCTGCTTAAAAATAAATTAATAATTTTGGAACGCAGTACATGTTACCCTAATGAAACCACAGACTTTCAAATCCATTGCAAAAAGATCAGGCTTTTCTTGAAAAAAAGATTGCCTTTTACACAACGGCAAATGTTCGGTCAAACGCCCTGCCAAAATTGTTATTTTGACTCATCCATGACAATGAGTGACAGAACCTACGACAATGAGTGGCAGACTTGGACAGACACTGTTTACCTGCGGTACTTATCAAAGTTTGTTCTTCGTCAATGTAAATCAAGCGAAAGAAGCTGTGAATGATGACAAGCATCCTGTCCTATATTGTTACTGTCTTCCGCCGCGAAGTACCAAATCTTCACTTCAGTGGCGGTCAAGCATTTGTCCCGCACTAAACGGCCACCATTATACTGCACCGCCCCGCTTAGCTTCAAAGGACCCGCCAAAGGGTCTTCAAGTGCTGGCTTGACAATGGACATACGCATGGCGACCGTCCACATTTGGACCTGCCTCAACATGCTTATACTCTACAAAAACTGTGTTTTTCTAAACACTTTCTTGATATCAGTTTGTAAACATGTTAAAAATATTAAAGATGTTCAGAGTAAGGATAGATAGTGTTTGGCAATTTAATATTGATGATTATAGGAATTGAACGCATGGTGTTTAGCTTGTTTCACAAAGTGATAGCAAGATTGTGTTTAACTGCTAATCGCAGTTCTTAGAGTGTAGTCTGAGTATCACCCGTTGTCCACGGAGCCCCCTCTGTCTCCGGTCCAACGTCTGATATATCTAAGCATGCATAGAAATTCACGACGTAACTTCATTCCGAAATATGGATTAAGATTTTGATTTCCTTTGGTGGGCGGATATGCGACTCAATCCGAGTTGATCATTGTGCTGGTTCAGTTTCCACCATTACTGGGACGCTCCAAACGCACTCAATGGGCGCAGTGGCGTAGCCAGGATTTTGTAGGGGGCCGGGGGGGGGAGACCAGCACAACATGGGGTGGCACCAAGGGCGGACCCCAAACCAAATTTCCCACAAAAGTCCAGGTGCTGCAAGTTCGAAAACGGAGAGGAGGGGAGGGGTGGGGGTGGACCTCTTTTGACGCTAGCGGGGGCTATTTTTTTAATACCAATTTATTCACATTTCATAAAACGAACATATCCCTTTTGCGTGCAGACTGACCCCGGTCTAAACATCATCGATACTGACGGTAGGGCGAGAACCAGGGTACCCCGCGAGAAACATTGTCTGGTAGCCAATAATTCGAACTTGTAACTTAATTGGTTTTTGACAACTGCATTATTGTTGTTTTGAGAAAGCCAATCTCCATTTAGATCTGCAACGAAACAAAAATTCAAACAGTCTGAAATTCGGAGATTGTAATCTCCACTTTTTCCATTAATTCATCACAAAACTCACGGTCATTCTCCGTCTTAAAACTTGACGACGAATCAGGTGGGGTTTTTTTTCATTCATAACCAGCTAAATTTTTTTAATGTCATACCGACTGACGAAAAAAAATGTAAGGTTTGTCATACGTATTTCGTGGTAAAACATGATGCTGAACAAAACAAAACTGGCCAAAATATTTAATAAAAACATTTTTCTTAAGAAAAATGACATGCCCCTAGCTTTTGTTGTTCCATGACCGGCCAATACATGTAATCTGTGTGCGGAAGGCTCTTCTGCCGCGGTTTAGCGGTTAAAATTCATATTTTCTCCTACAAAACCACCCAGTCTGATCACTACCTTTAATTCCCAAGCTTATTAATTGGGCTTGAAATCATAGTAGATTTTGAAAGATCTACATGCAGAACTCCATTGAAAAATGGTCCTGACATTTGGGTTTCCTCTTTTTGACTCACCCTGTACGTGCGGCTGTTTCTGGGGGGGGGGGGGGGGGGGGGGGGTTGAGGCGACAACTTGGACACCATGGCACACGAGTGCCATATGGCACTCGTGTGCCATTCAAATCACTCATGACCGGCCAATACATGTAATCTGTGTGCGGAAGGCTCTTCTGCCGCGGTTTAGCGGTTAAAATTCATATTTTCTCCTACAAAACCACCCAGTCTGATCACTACCTTTAATTCCCAAGCTTATTAATTGGGCTTGAAATCATAGTAGATTTTGAAAGATCTACATGCAGAACTCCATTAAAAAATGATCCTGACATTTGGGTTTCCTCTTTTTGACTCACCCTGTAGTGCGGCTGTTTCTGGGGAGGTTGAGGCGACAACTTGGACACCATGGCACACGAGTGCCATATGGCACTCGTGTGCCATTCAAATCACTCATTCAAATCACTCGTGAACTTTTCAAGTAACGGAATTTTAAACACAAACACTGTTTTAAAGTTCTGTCCACGTAGGGTCTATGTTATGAAATAAAGACATAGCCTCTTCTTGCTTGCATGTCAAATGATTGTGTTCGTGTGTGATACAGGTTCGTCTCTCTCTCTCTCCACTAATTTACCAGCACAAGCTAATGCCGCCAAAAGTTATGAAGCTCTATGGAGTTTTCAATCAATTCAGTACATTTTTTTCCACAGGCAATAAACAACATCAACAGCATGAAAGACACACAAACAAAATTTAGTCTCATATGAAAATTTGTTTAGATATGGCCGCTGATTTGTCCGGGCCTTCTTTTCCTGGGATAGACCTAAACTTGTCTAGTTTGATATCACATGATGAGCTGCAAGTGACACCTAATCCCCGAAATACACACGAATGTACCATCAAGTAATTAGTCCCCATTTAACACAGAGCATCCTGAGCGTATAGCTTGAATGCGGTAAATGGCTGATAAACATCCAGTTGTCACCTCCAACTGCCTCCAACTCTAATATTGACCATCCTGATTGAGTGACAACTGCTATTTAGCCAATAGGTCGCCTTTTTCGAGCGGTGGCTTTTGAAGCTACTGGACAATAGGAGTTCGCGTGGCGGTCGTCGTGTCGCCTTTGATACCTGCCTGAACACGCCCTACCAGATACCCATTGAGGAATGCTTCGATCATACACCTCTTGGTGGGCGGGTCTATGGGGAGAAGAAATGAAGGGGTGGTAGCTGCACAACCCGTATACCAAACTGATCTTAGGCTTAAAAAAACAACAACAATAACTTGAATTGTATTTTGTTGACTAATCTGATAATGTGACAAACTTTCCAGTTTAATCGAAATGATACACAGTAAAACTACAACGATCATTCCTGTTTCAAACTGTTGTCTTCTGCACTACATGTGTGGTGGTACATGTACTATTATTTATAATGTTGAATGTTAACAAAATAACATGCAAAAGATGCTTGAATGTATGGTTACCCGTCGGTTGCCCGTTGGTATGGCGTCACAGGGCACATGGTCTATGCGTTCTTTTCAAACTCAACGATCGAAAAAGGTCCGAAATTATTCCATTACTTAACGCGGGATTTGTTTATGTTTCGCATCAGTAAAAAAACGTTTGTAGCATTGCACACACAAAAAATCAGTTAAAATGAAAATCAATGCAAAGTTATTCTTTTAATCACAAAAAGAGACATCTCTATATTTCCAATAGACTCCATTGTCAGACGTATCAATTTAGTCGAATCCTATTAGAAATAGAGATTTCTCTATTTGAAATAGACATATGCCTATCTCTATTTATATCTCTACACAGATATACAAGTATCTCTATTTCTACAATATTTCGGAAATAAATGTCACATTTGTTCGCCATATACAAAACTATCATTCCTCATGTACGGGGTGTTAAAAAAAGGGTAAAACAGATGTAAATGTGAATTGTAAACAATCTAATAATTGTTTTCAAATAAGTTAAAGATCATGTGAAACACCAATGTGTCTCCTTGATTGTGTGTCTGTGCCGTTCACAACATTTGAATCTTTGCATAACTTAGCC